AGAAAAAGAATGCAGAACTGCAAGAAAATAAATTCATTGTAAGTATTTATATTGCATTGAAATTTCATTGTTATTAAATGATCTATTGAACCTCTGATTTTGCATTAAAAACAAATGTTCCCTGAAAATTTATAATCTTCCCCATTTCAGAATTAAACAAGAATGTGTCCATAGTACACAGATGCCCCACTCGCACTATCATTTTCTATCTTCAGTGCACCGTGAAATTGGGGTCAAAACTCTAATTCGGCATTAAAATTAGGAAGATCATATCATAGGGAACATGTGTACTAAGTTTCAAGTTGGACTTCAACTTCATCAAAAACTATCTTGACCAAAAATTTTAACCTGAAGCAGGTCAACATTGAAAAATTCAAAGTATCAGCATACAGCATAAGTCATCAATGTAATAATGTTGACCAAAAATGAAGTCATGTCTCATTGGCACTCATACCACATCTTCTTATATCTGTATTATGTACTGACAGGTACTATTGCAATATAGCCCCACTTCTAGAGTGGTGATATAATAAAGATAGAAATTAGGCTTACAGGGATCTCTTTGGTGCATTAGGATCTTTTTCTCTCTTCTTTCTCCCAACCTTCTCCCCTGGTCCTGGTACGTAATTCTTCATTTCTCCCTCATATCTAACTTTGTCTTTCTCTGCCATATCTTCAAATCTTTTCTTTTCCTTAGCACTCATTTCCTACGATAAAAAAAAAAAACAACAAAAATTAAGTAATCTTGCATAAAAAAAAATAATAATACAAAACATTTATTTGTAATTATTTGTGTACTGTAACAAAAAAGACAATCTTTATAAAATGAAAAGTCAGACAGTCTTTGAAGGAATTGATTGCCATGTTATAAATTGTACAAGATAACAAAATAATTGCCCAAAATGTTTCCCAAGTATTTCACCTTTTCCAAGATGATTAAATGATGCATTACCTTCCATTTTTCTGCACACTTTTTTGTGAATTCAGCAAACACAACTTTTTCTGTTGGGTGTTTTTTCTTGTGTTCCTCCCTACAAGTTTGCACAAAGAAGGCATAAGATGACATACGTCCTCGTGGCTTTCCATCTTTCCTCCCCATCTTGATTGAATATTAAATTGAAATATTTCTGAAATAAAATGAATTCATTTATATGCAAGAGAACTCTTAACAAGTAAAACATTTGAATATAAACATTTTAGGCTGTTAACTTAGCACAAGACTTTAGCCTGTACTTGTCTGAACCATTGAACTTCAATCTTACTTGCATCAGACTGTTTATGTCCCTCAATTTCTACTGGACAATTTGTTTAAAAAACAGAGCACCCTTTATTAGCCATTACTGTGAGAACATTATCTGACACCAAAAGACTATATCCAGTTTGATTAAGTTTTGTTATCATTTCCTAAAGTTTATATAAGAATAAGGATATACATCATAGATGCTGTACAACTATACATATATCTCCCCTTTTAGAAAAAAAAGTCTAATGGGCGGAAAAAAAAAAAGAATCATTTGCATCAAAAGTAAAACAGATGGTATGGTGCACAATACAATTATGATACTGGAAATAATCTTGAATGTCATTTTTTTAAGTATTCAAAATCTGACAACTACAAATTAATGTCAAAATTGGATTAACCTATTCAGTGGTTTATATTAGTAAGTCGAGTAACCTCATTGATGGAGAACTAACAGAAATACATATTTGCTTTTGGAAACCTTGAATATAATTCAAATAAGGTTGTTTATTTAAAAAAAAATTCATCAGTGCATGACAATGCAGAATCTTATGTGCACCATATAACAATTTTATAAAAGCTGTGACTGCTTAGTGAAAATAAAACAAGGTGGGCACAACCCATTAAATGGAGAATATTTATCTAGTAATTTTTCATGATTCATACTTTAAATTGCACAGACATATTTTATCAGTTCGATTCTGTTGCCATGATTAGAACAGTACATTAATTAATTCCCAACCAAATGAACAAAGCATAGTATATAAGCATGGTAAAGGGGAGACAATTCCTACTCAAATGTGGTACTGGAGTGTAAAGGAAAAAGTAATACTCAAAATTAAGTAAACAGCTGGTATAAAGTTTAGCATTAAATTAATATTTCATCACATAACAAATAAAGCTTGCAACATACAACATAATTTCAATATTATTAAATAATTTTCATTTATTCTTGATAACAAGATTAACTTATCAGAGGCAAAATCTTGAATTTGAATTTATTAATGAAAAAACTTTTCCAAAGATGTATATGTCAAACTGAAAAAATTCTGTTCTTTGTGGAAAAACTACAATAAAAAATTCCCAGACCCCCACAAAATTAGTTTCGTTATTTTATTTTGGATTGGGTTAAATGTAGCCAGTCCATGTCACTTGCAATCCCAAGAATCTTTTTCATTAGTTATTTCGTGTCAGTCAGAATTTATCTAAAGAAGAACTTGTGATAAACACTCATTTACACAAGTCTGATACATTACATAATATGTGCTTCTGGATTGCACATGACTCAAATTGGTAGCCAGTGGCAAAGTGAAAAACAAAGTTATGTTCAATAGTTTATTACAAGATGTCTGTTTCACAGCCTTCATTCGGTATATCGAGAAAAATGATCGTGAAATAATGGTGCACAAGTATTGCAATTGAATTGTGAAAGATCTGGTACATGTAGCTTATGTGAAAATGTCTAAATTCTGCGGAAAAAATGATTTGAACATGAGTGAGTTAAAAATTAAAACAAAATTATTTTTGTTATACAACAAATAACCCCCCCATATTTACAAATAATCAACAAGGACATTCCATCATATAATAACAGAATGATTTGAAAGCTTTCACAATCCAATATCAAATTCATATAAATATGCCAATTTTGGCAAACTTTGTGATTAAGTTACTATAAAATAGTTTCAAGAGAATTTTAAACAGTAATGTAGAATAACATTGTTCAGATAATTCATATTCAACAAAAAAAATCATGTTTACATTTCTTTTGGTTCAAAATTGATGAGCAATCTGCCATTTTTGGTTTATTACAAACAGCGAGCTTTTGAACTTTGATTTTTCTCAGGAAATTATCATAATGTTTTCTAATTTTTATTCCTAAAAATTCAATAAATTAGATTAAATACTGACCTTGCATGTGTCTCCTTGATAAGATTTCCTTCACATTCATACCGTTATACTTGATCACAGTTACTTATTCTTTCGAAATTCACGATCATTTTTCTCGAAATACGGAATGACAGTTGAGTTTTGATGGAATGTCATACATGATCATCAACTTCAAATCCATGTGCTGTTCATGTAGAAATGTCTTCAAGGTAACCGTTTTTTATTAGTATAATGTGCCTTTACAGGTCTTTCAAGTTGTGATATATATTATACTTCTTATTCAACTAAGAAATGCCTTTAGGGATTTTCTAGGAGGCCATGGAGGGACGTCACTATTTAAAACATTGAATGTCTTTCAATGAAATATGTCAGGATCTGCACCAGAAACACTCTCCCTTATATGGTAAGAGACAACATGCCAAACAGAGAACTATTCCTTAAATGAGTAGCAATCCCTCTATAGTCATAATTTGACAGGGTTACAAATGATTTTTTTTAGCTGAATCATTTCACTTAAAAGGTCACAAATTTATAGAAATTGAAACTTTTTTGGGGGATTAATAGTAATGTTGTTACTTCTCAGTAAATTAGTTCAATACTATTTATCTTTTGGAAAAATTACTGTATTTTTCATAAGTATGCTTCATTTGAATCATAAAATGTTTTCAAGAAAAATATACCCTGTCCAATGATAACAATCAGTTAAATTATATCTCTATGGATGATTAATATACTGCTCTTTCTGTCTGGAGATTCAGTTAAGTAAAAGCAACCATGCAACTTAAGACATTGAATTATTTAAAACAAGATACATCACAGTAATCTTGCATGGAAACTCAGCTTTTGTTGTCCTTTTCATATAAATTCACACAAACAGCAAGTCTCATTTGAAAAAATCAATACAAAAAATAAAATCTGGGGAGAATAATAAGTAATAAATTCCATTTTTACCATTTAAACATGTAAACGGCTTAAAAATAGTATAACAAGTCACTCATAGATGTTCCTATGTATTCTCTATGAAAAAATTTTAAAATTCATAATTTATGTTTTTAAACCCGTTTCCATCTGTTTTTGAACAAAGAAAAGATTGAAATACAAACAAAGATCGATTTTTAACTTTCACTGTTATTATTCATTTAGTAAATATTTTTTTTTAAACATTATAAATTTTTCCCCATGCTATCCTATGCAAGATATTTTCCCTATGTTGTTCAATGTAAAAATCAGACATGGCGCATATTTCTGCCGCCGACAAACAACGACCTCAAAAAGCACCTTCTCAAAGTCAAATTCCAATACCATGAATGAAAGTCCACTTAAATTTAACCCTTCTTCGATTCTATTTCGCTAAATATCAATTACAATCCTTTCCAAGAAAGTTTAAGGTTTCCGTTTTCATTGCCCATAGAATCCTATGGTTATATAGTAACTCTATGTACAATGCAAATGCCTTGGTTTATCGTTGATGGCTGTGTACGGCTTTCTTCACAAAGGAACGACAAAATGTATCGTCGATTTCAACAACTTTTCAGTAACGCTGGTTGTTCAAATTTTACAGAAATGTAGCAAATCTCATAATTATAAAACATCTCTACTTATTTTGACATGTTACCTTACCAGAAAAAAGAAATCAGAGCGAGTAATCCAAATACTACAGCAATGGCATCCACAAGCATAAAGTAATGGCGGTTGCTTACAGTGTTAATCCTGCAAAATCAACACTTTTCAGAGGCCAAATGCATCCTCCACCGATAACGCAAGTTAAACCAAATTAACGAAAATGAAAGATCAATCCTTTTACTTTTGCATTATTATTATTAAAATACTTTTTTTACATTTGAAATATTTTAAAATTGATCAGACTTACCTATACCCAAGCTGGAAAATGCCGCAATGATAACCCACGCTACAGTATACAGGCTACATAGACAAAGCTATGGGGCGAATCGTGAGCGTTGATTGGATGATTTGTCGATTGAATGGATTTATTGACCAATCAATGATTTAGCAGGTGCGTGACGTTTATGTAAATTGATAAGTCAAAGGAGAGTTTGACATGTGACTTACGTTTGAAAATCACATTGGTTGTAAACAAATAGAGATCATTGCGACTGCAACACTTGACTGAATTTAATTTTATGCATCTGAATGCATTTTCCAAGAAATAAATGATAAAACATTTTAAGATCTATAAAAATTATGCTTACACAAATCTAAACAAAAATTCATGAAAACAAAATATAAATATATGGGCGGAGTCTTTTTTGCCATATTTGGCATGTTAACCTATGAACTTGCAATGCATGTACACAACAGCCGCCATTTCAAACTAAAACACGATTGTGTGTTTGTTGACAGCTTGGGGTTTAGTGTGTAGAGAAAACCAAACTGAGTGAATTTTGTACAAACAGGCAGGTTTTTTCTTGTTAGTGTCATCGTGAGTATTCTTTAGCTTAAAGAGAGTTTTGTTTTGGAACGAACAAAAACGATTGCAGAAAGCTCTCTATTTTATACAACAATATAATATTTTGTTCGACAGTACACACACATAGAAAGTTGATCATATTATCAATATAATTTATGAATTCTACCAGTATTTCAGAGTTGACTCATAATGTATTAGTTATTTTTTAGTTGCACATTACAGCCACAGCTATACATATATAAGATAAGATAAAGACGTTTATTGCAATAAGCACAATTATGCTATAGCACATTTAAATTACAACTATCATGTGTAAGCAACATGTACATGTATTTTGCTTAAAGAGTCTGAGATAACTGAATTTTTAAATTATCATGATTAGGGTTCATTTCCTTTCACTCATCATTCAATGTTCATTCTTTTACTTTAATGTAAAATTTCATTCTTGTATCTGACTAAAATTGTGTTTCATTATAATATGACATGTCATTTTGATATGTTATCATCTACTGGTTATGAACATGATGCATTTCATAATTTGAAAATCCTTATAATAAGTTGAAAATCCTTGAATGTCACCTACCGATTGAGACTTATCACCAGTTTGGTACTTACTTAAGCAATACGATGAGGGCCATATGTGGAGCATGATCTGCTTACCCTTCTGAAGCACCTGAGATCACCCAGGTTTTTGGTTGGGTTTGTGTTGCTCAGTCTTTATTTTGCCATGGCATTTTCAGTTTGTTTTTTTCGACTTGTGAGTTTGAATATCCCTTTGGTATCTTTTGCCTCTCTTTTTGAAGTAAAAATATTTACACCTATGCATCTATGCATAGGAACTATTTTGTCTCAAATATGTACTACTTTCCAGTATAAAAGTTCTTTTACGACCGGCGCCCGATTTTGTGATGATACATCTTACAATGTCTATCCGAATCAATTTGCAAAGAATTCCGTTCAAACCTGTGCAAGGGGCCGTTCTTAACTAGCAGTGAGGTGAGTTTTTTTTTGTTTTTTTATTGCTCCGTGTTGAAGGCCACACTGTGACTTTGGGATGAAGAACAGCAATACAAGTGCTGTTCCTTTGCTTTTTGTGTGTTTTTTGCTGTGCATGTACTGTTTTTGTGTCATGGATGGATAACCCATATCCTTTGTTTTCTATTATAAATTTATGATTCTCATTTCAGAATATAAATGGATCCCCAGTAAAATTATGAGTTCTGAAGTTTCATCATTGTATTCTGGTAATCATAGCAACACTATACATAGTTACTCTGCTCTACCAACACTGTGTAAAGCTGCAGAGGATTCCTTGAATAATAAGACAGGCGATTTCCAGTTTGACGAAAATAGTCAGGTATTTGTAAAGCTTATGAAAATATACATTTGTTTGTTATTTAGTGACAGAAGGTTATAAAAAAAATTGTGGTATGATTGCTAATAAGACAACTATCAAATAAAAAAAACAGTAAGGATGAGAATGTGAATAAACATCTAACATCTAAAGGTCACACTGTGAATAAACATTTAAAGGTCACAATGCAGGCCTCTACAATAACTTTTTTTTCAACTTGTCCAGTAGGACAAGTACATACCAAAACTTACTTGTCCGAATGAAATTGTAACTTGTCCAAAAAAAATCTTAATAATAACCTTTTTTGCATTTTAAGTTGATTGAATTAAAACAATAGAACAGAATTTGATTTTAACATATCTTTTGCAATACTTTACAAAAATATGAGTCGAGAACAACTGAATCTAGTCATGTCACAGGACTTAGGTTCTAGTTTTCATCAATGCCAAAGTCTCATCAGACTCTGCACATGAGGCACCGTCTGATAGGATTGCCAATGTACACTCATTGGATTTGTATCTTGGTTTTTTAATTTGAAAAAAGTTTATTTAATGCAATCAATAAAAAAAGGAGATGAGGTATGATTGCCAATGAGACAACTCTCTGCAAGAGATCAATGACACAGAAATTAACAACTATAGGTCACCGTATTGCAAGTATTGTTTTTTTCTACATACATGACATATGATCAAATATGATTTTGTGAATGTTATGGTCATTTTTATTTTAAAAATATTTTTGCTAAAAAAATTACTGGTATGGTATTTGTAATTATAAAGCAACAGAATAAGGTAGGAAAACGAGGTACTGATTTGTCTTGGTCCTGAAATGTCTCCTGCGTTACCAAACTGTCTATTAATTATGTTTATTGAATATGTCTCCTACGGTGCCAAACTGTCTATTAAACTTGGAGCCGAATCGCTTCCGAGCTGGTGATGAACTGTCTTGTAAAGTTACCTTATCTACAAAGCGCAGCATATTGGATCAGTAAGACTGGTTTCCGAGAACCTGTTAAAAAGTACCTGACAAAGAACCAGTTTTAAATTATCGATTGCAAGTAAACATGTCAAATTAATACTTGTTTTTATGTTCTTTTCTTGTTTTTTGTTTATAATTACTTTGTTCATCAAAGTTGGATTACATTTATTTTCTGCAGAATAATTTTACTTGTCCCGTCGGACAAGCTTGATATAGCTTTTACTTGTCCGACCTTTGTTTCCTCTGGTACCGGACAATCGGACAAGCGTTATTGTCGAGCCCTGCAATGTGAATACACATCTAAAGGTCACAATGTGAATATACATCCAAAGGTCACAATGCTGTATTTAAGAAAAGACATTGGAAGAAAAAGTTCTTTGATATCATGAATACATATTAAAGGAGAAGTGGAGTATATATGTCAATGAGACAGCAAGAGAGCAATGTAGTAATACCAGAAAAGCTTAAAAAGATCTGAAGTGAACTAGATGTGAACAATTTAAAAGAGACACATGTACATGTACCCAGAGGCTTATTTTAGTCAATAACACAGAACAATTAAAAAAAAAACAAAGAGAGAATATTGATTTCATTCAGACCACAAGCTCCTGGCTTGAAAAAGACACATTTAGCTTTGATGGGGTTAATTAGGTTAAATTGGCACTCAACTCACCCTTAACCTGGGACTTTGGTGTTAATACAGAAAGGCAATATAGTTCATTAAAGAGCTAAGTGTGCATCCATGCAGCATTTTAATTTTAACATGATATACTAAAATATAAAAATAAGGAGAGGGTATGATTGCCAATGAGACAACTATCCACCAAAAATCAAATGAAGTGGATGTTAGCATTTATAGGCAACCGTACAGCCTTCAACAATGAGAAAAACCCATACCGTATAGTCGGCTATAAAAGGCCCCGACATGAAAAATATGAAACAATTCAATTGAGAAAACTAACAGCCTAATTAGGCAAATTTATAACAGAACAATTTATGAAAAACAAATATGAAAGACATGAACCGACGACAACTACTGAACAACAGGCTCTTGACTTGGGACATGCACATACAGAATGTGGCAGGGTTAAACATGTTTGTGAGTGCTCAACCCAGCATTTATTTCCTTTTGTACAATTTAAGTTATATTTCAGAAAGTTTTACAAAAGGAAATTTGATTTTATGCGGTATCCAGTCTTTCTTTGTTCTCAACCACCGACCCACCAGCCCAGGCTTGTAAAAATCATCTCTACAGCCAATAGATTCTAACTTAAATTTTCCTAAAATTCAGCTTGGGACCTGTAAGTTCAAAGTTTATCATGAAGACTAGGTATCCACTACCAATAAATGACAATTCTCTAAGACTTGATTTATTTTGCAGGGATCAGCAAAAGAAGGAAAGAAAAGAAGAAGAAAAACACATTTATGGTTACATAGACCTAAGCAGAGGTAGTTTTTAAGTCAAAAATATTGATCATCTATGAATAAAGTTATGGGGAAACACTATGTACATGTAGTAACATTTAAATTGAAAAAGTAGAATAATGCACTGGTATTTTCAGAACTGTTACAGGGAACACTACCTACCTTTCAATTCCAGTTCATTTATATGGAGATTTGATAACTGACAGTGTAATAAATGACTTCTGGTGACAAAACTTCTTACAAACCAGTTTACTTAATAACCTGTTCCATTTAAACATACACAGTACCTACAGCATATGAAAGGCACTATGTAAATAGATCATCTATAGAGGCAGTTTTAAAATTTCTCTTCCATTTTCACTGTACAAAAACATCCAATCATATATGAGATTTCAAAGTGCCTTCCCTGTGTCCAATGTATGTATTTATGGAACATTTCTAAGTGTGTATATTTAAAACTCAAGAGTTAAATATGCTATATTGGGGAAGAATTCAAGATTGCAATGAAAATCATAGGTCGTTTTATTTAGAAAATGTATACCATAAAGTATATCTATGAAACAGAAATTGCTGAATCCTTAAATTTTTTAAAAATTTAACAGGATATAATCAGTTATTAATTTCAATTGATTTTAACCTTTCAATTAATTCTTTAGTCATTTGTATTGCAAAATTAACAAATAATGAAAGGGTCCTATGGAATAACTGGAAGTCAACTGTTTGAATTTTTCTTATTGTAGAGAACTAGAGATGAACAAGTGTAAAGTTTTCTTTTGTCCGCTGTATTATATTTCATATGTGTCAACATTTTAGGTACAATTTTCATTTTACAAAATATAACATCATTTAATGAGAACAAATTTTTTTTTGAAATTCCCTTTATTAATAATGTAATTTTGACATAGATTGAGGAACAAACATAACTGTTAATTCTGTTAATAAAAAGTCTTGACATATGTTAGGAAGGTTTTAACACACTTTTAAATGTAAAATTGTTTTGTCATCAGTAATTAAATGTTTTCAAAAGATTATCTTAAACTGTAGTATACAGTTGAGTAATCTTTCAGAGATGACAGTATATCTATGAATGGTTTCAGTACTGAAGAAGACAGTCGTAATGGCCATGACCAGATCTGTTGTTTGATTGACAACACAAATAGATGTACTAACCATGCTGGTAATGCAAGCTACAGCAAGAGAATACAGAAAATAGTTCAACAGAGAAAACTGAAACTTGTTAGAGATGATAGTGTAAGTCATTATTCGGAGGTAGTTTTCAATATACAATAATATGGTAGGTAATTTTTAGAGCAGCTGACCTTTTCAGATAAATGTTGGAGTAAAAGTCATCACAAGTTAAAATAGTTAGTATTGAACTGAATCTGATGAGAACATTTTTACATGACAGATTTGTTTTTATAAAAGATTTTATTGGGTCCATTTGTTTTTTTTTATAGCATTTATCAGTAATCTTTCATTGTCTTTGTTTAGAAGGATGAACATTTTCATAAAATAATTCTGGATAGAATGAAAGAACTTTCTCTTCACTGTGTCTTTGTTGTAGCCTGCATGTCAAATAGATTTCCATGTTTTATCTAGAAAAATGCGTTTTGGTGTCATAAACTAATTAGGCTTAGCAGTAACTTATTATTCCACTAAAACTCTCATATTTAAAAGTGGACTAGGTCAATAACCATAGGTTAAACTGTATGGACCTCAGTGTCAGTCTTATTACCTTGGAGCATTTATTCAGGACAATAAAAGTCAGATTTAAATTGAATGGACATAGTCATGTGATAAATCTCTTTTATCAAAATCAAATTCAGACTGTGTATAAAATTGGGTGATAAAATATTCCAATTGGTTCAGAAGTTGAGCTGTTGGAAAAAGTTTACAGACAGACATTCAATAGACAACTCTTTGAAACCTGCAACTTTTTATGCCCCCGCCGTGACGGAGGGGGCATTAAGTTTTACCCTTGTCCATATGTCCCAAAATAAGTTTCCGTTCTCTAACTTTACTTTGCCTCAACAAAACTTTATAAAACTTATACACAATGCTTATTACTACCAATTACAGATCAAGATTGAATATGGATGGTGTCACTGTCACCGTTTTCAGAGTTGTGTCCCTTTGTAAATTGAAAAATTGCAGAACTTGCCATATATTTTCAAGCTGGGGCATCTGTGTCTCATGGACACATTCTTCATTTATTTGCTATTAACATAATTACAAATACAGCAATGTAAAGGTAAAAGTACACTCCAACACTTCTGTAAAATATGATGCAGAGACATTTTTAAATCAATGCGATAGATTTTGTAGGTTTCCACTAGTTCAGACTTCTTTTTTTTGGCTATGGTGTGTCCAGCATACCTTTAATTTATTACTGAAGTCTCCATGACAAAATGAGAAAGGAAATAAATCAAATTTAGATTAATTTATTATAATTTTTGGTACACAATGATGTCATTGGTGCTCAGCTGATACAACAGTGTACAATCCAGATGCATCTGTGGACTCTGCAGTTCAGAAAATAATGAGTCCAGACACAATTCAGTCTTAGTGAGAACCCTGTATGATTTCTCTTAACAGGTTTCCCATATCTACATCTGTGATTACCATAAGAACGTTATACAGAGTGTGAGAACCAAACGGAAGAGAAAAGATTCAGAAGACGATAATGGTTCTCCAGATGGGGATGAGGATATTCCAGAGGTATGTAACCAACACTAATTGAAATAAGGGAAAACAAATTGTTTACTGTAATACTTACACATTTTGACCATCTTGTCAGAATAACCCTCTTGGTAATAAAATTAGTTTCAATAATTTCAAATGAACAAATCTGCTTCATAATCAAAATCTAATTTTGATAGGTTTATTTATAATCCATATGGGTGGCATTTTTATTGGCTTGTTTGGATTAAGTCCAAAACCAGCTTATAGAAGGGGATGTGAGGGGAGAGTGGGTACTTAATTTGTATAATCAACTCCTTTAGTTTTCAACCCAGATCTCTGAAACTAATTGTCTGTCAATAATGTAGAAGAATTTAATAATTTAGGAAAATATTTATACCTTTACAAAAAAATCTTACTTTTTATTGATTTGTATAGTCACTAAAGTTGTGATTTCATATTGTTTGTACATTATCTGTATGGGAGATAACTCTGATCTGATACATTGTAGATTGACTTTTTCCAAATGCCTGTGAACACATTAAGGAGATACAAAAGACATTTTAAACTGCCAACTAGACCTGGTATGAACAAGGCACAGTTATCAGATGTAAGTTTATTAATAGTCAGGGTTAAATCAGATATCAGAATTAATTTAAATCTTTAACATGTTTAAGTAGTTTAGTTTCGAAATTATAAGAACATCAATGTACTAGTAATTTTTTGGGGCCCTTTATAGCTTGCTGTTCGGTGTGAGCCAATGCTCCGTGTTGAAGGCCGTACCTTGACCTATAATGGTTTACTTTTATAAATTGAAACTTGGATGGAGAGTTGTCTCATTGGCACTCATACCACGTCTTCCTATATCTATAAAGAATTGTCCAATTTGTATGCATGTAAACAAAGGAGGATGTTCACGAAGGGCTAGAATTGGCCTTAAGTTTTTGATGTTTTTTTTAATCAGACCAAAATACTACACATTTCACATAGAAATACTTGTGATAATACTATTAAGACAAAAATAATTTTTTTTGGCACCTTCCTTTAAAATTTATGAAGCTTAAATAAACATATGTATTTTAACTTCAATTTTGGTAAATTTTTCCATTAATTTTAATTGTTTTTGGCATAATTAACCTTGGTCTCCAATTCAGGGCTTCCAAAATTATTTTTAGCCAGCCGGACATTTTATATATTATCCTGATTTTAATCCCTTAAGACTAAGTAAACAAAAGGCAATTATGGTAATCAGTTGCCGAGTTGGCCATCCCAATGATTGACATTAAAAAAAAAAAAACGATATTAAACTTTCTTTGATTCAAATTCAAAGTTCTGACGTAAACTGTTAAATTGGCAGTGCACCATTCAAAGTGTGCAACATCAGCATACTTATATCTGCCTTAGACTCTTTATTTGTGCAAAATAACGTTGTCAAAAACTTTACTTTCGTTCTTAAATCTAACCGGATGTTATCTTGACAATGGTAAAACATGGACCAGAGACGGATACGTAAATTCCGTGTACGTTTGCAAAGCACGAATGAGTTCAAATAGCTCTTTCTACGTTATTTCTTCAAGAAAATATTCGATATAAATGTGAGATAAAGGTATCAATGACAATTTAAGCATTTTTTTTAAGAAATTAGAATGCATAATTAAATTTCACACCTGCGCACATGCGCACACGTGTACTAGTTCAAACAGAGACGTGTCTCTGGTTCAAACAACGTGGTTATGTCGATTTTTCATTTTCACCTTTTTAATTTTTTCATCAAATCATATTTGTAAACGTATTTCTGATAATTTAAATCTTTTTGACTAAATTAATTAGATGCAAACCGCTGAAATGTAAGAAAATAACTTTGAATAGACCGATCAATGTCCGGTTCAAAATAGTTTACCTGTCACCTGAACAGGTAAATTTCAGCTGTTCGACAACTAATTAGCCTTGATTAAAATGAGAAGGTATTAAAGTAGAGGTTGTTTTGAAAGTACTTAATGATCATGTCACTTTTATGACCGGAAATGTGTGGCTGTTAAAGGCAAAAGGTTTGGGTCAAAAAGATCGCGAATTATGTTAAAATGACCGTCTCTTAAGAAAGCCTTGAAAACTAAAAAGTAGATGACCGTTTCATGCTTTGCCCAGCCGGACTTTTACCGGACATTATACAAATGTCCGGAATGTATGACCGTTTTGGAAGCCTTGGTCTCCATCCACGATTCAAAAAGTTTTTATATTGATGAATTCTATATCAAAATTGGAATCTTTTGGTTTAAAAAGATTTTGATCGTAGGTGGCGGCCAAGGTTTTCCTATAGCTTTTAGGTCTGAAAATTGCACAAAATCATCATATTTTGACAAATTACCAAATGGGCTTACTTTGGTATAATGTACTTTTATGAAAAGAACTGATTTATTTAGCATTAAGGCTTTCTAAATAGATCCATTTACGAACCAAATTGTGACCTTTTTGGTGTTTTATGATAAAGTTGATATTTTAGGCCATATTGTGCCATAAGTGAACCTTGTCCTTTTCAATTAGTTTATATTAGTGGAAATTGTTTTTCTTTTACACCAATTAGCAACACTATTGATTATAAGAAATTGACATAAAATTTAGAATAGAAATGGGGAATGTGTCAAAGAGACAATAACCCCTCCCAAAGAGCGGAAAACAGCCGAAGGCCACCAATGGTGTTCATTTTTTTTGTTTCTGTAATATATTTACCTTCATTTTCTAAACTGCTTCTTTTTCTATTAAACAGGTCAAAATAAAACTTCTTAAAGTTCATTATCTGGAACAATAGTCATAAAATTATTCTTCTTATTAGGGGCCTGCTAATTTCATTATTTAAATTCTAAACTTTTAAAAACATGGAGTTGGTCAAATTATTCCCCACTACTAAAAGGTGTGTTGTGTACAAGGAAGTTAACCATACATTGAAAGTTATTCCGAAAAACTAGTTTCACCTTACTCACCCCTGTTCAAATACATGTACAAAAATCGTTATTTACTCTCTTACTTTAAAACCCCTTGGAGTTAAAGTATGATGAAATTAAGACGACTATTCACCACTTTTGGAAGGTGATGAAAACAATACATTGAAAGTCAGGTCAAAAACTAAGTTGAACTTAGTCCCCCTTATGCTTTAAAACAAAATTTGTTTTCGCTCTCTTTCTATAAAACCCCATAAAGGTTAAGGATAAATTAGTAGTGTATCAGTTAAGTTTTGGTGAGTAAAAGCTAAGTTAAAATTAAAATGACCCTTATTACTACTTAAAAAGCCTCTTAATTTACTTGACAGTTCATGTATTTAATCAAGCAGAGCCCTCTATGATGGGCGCATCACTATCTTGTTTCTATTACATGTATTATTTAGTTGATAAATGTCTTTGCAGATGTATTATGATCTTTTCAGGTATCAATAAAAGATAACCAACCATCAAATTAATGATTGATACAAGCAAATAAAAATTACAAATTCATGCTTTTCATTCAAGTCATGAAAAAGTTGTGAGACAAGATTTTTTCCAAGCTTGTGCATCTGTTGTGATATTTTTAGTTTGATTATTGTCTTGTTTGCTATGATAGTCACAGAAGCTAGACTTAGGTGAACTGGTTCTGTTGTCAGTGGCATAGACATTTTATCAAAGTTTTGTGATCAGGTTAAATAAGTGAGACATACTCTATTAACAGTTTATAATATCTGTCTTATTGAAGTGATATTACAATTTTTTTGAAATTTATTTTTGTTTTCTTTTTCCTTCTCACAGATTGTAGCCAGGCATTTCAAAGGTATTCCAGTTATAGAAAAAGAAGCGCTGACGTACTTCATTTACATGGCAAAGAATTACAAAAGCAGATTCGATCAGAAACATTTAGAAACTGTTCACTAATGAATGTATTTCTGACCTTCATTCAATGTATTTGTCATCATCAGTTTGACTGAAGTAAAGCTAAATCATTTTATCATTTTTGTTAACATTTAAAATTTTGGAATTTTATATCCTTATTTTTTAATTTAAGAAGGCATCAATCCTACTTGAAATTAAGTCTTTTATCAGAGTTATTATTATGCATTATTTGTACATTTGTTAATCTTTGAGTATACATGAATGCACTAGGTATTAACAAATCCAGCTTATTTTGATCTTTCATTGTACAATTTCAACTGCATATTATAGAAGATTTAAATGAATATACTGATGGACTTGTGCAACAATATAATTTAAGTAATATATTGTAACACTACTAAATCTGAGGATATGTTGAATATTTAGCATTTTTGTCACTAATAATCATTTGAAATTCCACACATATGAGAAGTGTGTATACCAATATATATTAACACCTGTAAACTTAACTCTTCTGATGCCTTTTCAGTTTGCATTTAGCTATTATAAGGAATAAAAATCTTTTATAATTAGGATGCTTGTTGTATATATTTACACGTAAAACATACTATAAACATCTTCTCATTCAACATGTTCAGAGCTGCTAATTGCTTATAGTATATTATCATTGGATCATTTATAATTATAATACCAACTTTCCACATGCATTTAAGTTTACTTTTAGGAATACATTTGTGATTATGGGAGATGCATGTATATTATTTCCAAATACATTAAATACAAGAAAATTTCAGTATTCTTTATTGGTACATAAGTACTTTTAATACAGTAGTACAGTGCTGAATTTAATAGATTATGAATTTGAAGACAGTAATAAAATTATGTGATGATCGTGATGCATAAGAATCTTATTGTCTACTTTACCAATCATATTAACTTTTACACATATGGAACACATATCTGACAATAGTGTACAAAGCTCTTTGATGATGATGAGGATGATGATGGATGACTGTTTAATGTCCATTTGCAAAAATTAAATGCATATTCACAGTGTTGTCCTCAGAAATTTCTTATCTCATCCTGGTAAACAGGGAATTATGAAATACCTTCTTGTTTCTAGAAAATATAGCATCACATTCATAACACTATCTATAAGAAGCCTATTTCAGATAGCATCACATTACCATGATGCTAAAAGGCCCTGGGGAGAACATTGTAATAATTCAGGACAAAAATGTTTAAATGTGATATGAAAATAAAGCCTGCATTGTACTATACTGATAGATTGAGTAGTATTTTCAACATGAGAGTTCACAAGGTACTAGAATGCAGGTACACATGTCACCCTACCTGCTGCGTTATTCTAACTTGGAAGCCAACCAGTCTTTGTTCTTACTCCTTAATGTTTCATGCTTAGCACAGAAGCAGCAAATACCAATTTTAAAGCCTTTGCATTAACCCGGCTGGGGATCAAACCACTAACTTCTTAAACATGAGGCAGGCATAAGACCACAAAGGCAGTCCAAAGTTCATTTGAAACTATATGGTAAGTCGGAACATTAATTAACAAGACCAATACTGGGTCTGGACCTTTGTAACTGCATTTAATTGATATAGGTCACATGTATACTGAAGTAACTGATCATTCCCTTTCATTGAAGCAAAGACAACTTTGACAAATATTTCCTTGAACAAGGAGTGTTGTATTAATTCAAACTATTGGCAAATAGGAAGTGGCTCTCTGCAGATGTAAAATTGCTTACCCGCTACAACTTAACATTATGAAGCTGCAGACCAAATAAATCATCTTTCCCCTTCATAGAAGTTGGAAGAAAAATTTGACAATTTTTTTTATCAAATGAGTGTTGTAAAATTTCAAAAAGCACAGCAGATCATTATATTGCTTACCCTCTACAACTCAACACTATGAAGCTCACATGCAGACCAAATATATCATCTTTCCCTTTCATAGACTTTCATAGAAGCTAAGAAAAATGACAAAAGTTTTCCTTGTACAATTTCAAACCAGCAGCAAACATGAAGCGACTGCATGGCAGATTCCCACCAGTGTATAATATTTGTAAATCTGGGGAGACAACATTAATAAATTATATATTGGCAAAATCCTAAATTGTTTGTTGTGGGTAATTATTGATCAAATGGAATACAAAAAGATCTGGATGCATGAGTGAAATAAGACTTTGTGTCATGGATGGATACCCATATCCCTTGTTTTTATGCCCCCGCCGTACCGGAGGGGGCATTAAGTTTTACCCTTGTACGTCCGTCCGTACGTCCTGAAATTGGTTTCCGTTCTCTAACTTGAGTTTGCCTCAACCAAATGTTATGAAACTTATACACAATGCTTATTACCACAAAACACAGATCAAGTTTGAATTTTGGTGGCGTCACTTTAACCGATCTAGAGTTATGCCCCTTTATAAAAGGAAATATTGCAAAATTTTTAGTTTCCGTTCTCTAACTTAAGTTTGCCTCAACCAAATGTTATGAAACTTATACACAATGCTTATTACCACAAAACACAGATCAAGTTTGAATTTTGGTGGTGTCACTTTAACCGATCTAGAGTTATGCCCCTTTATAAAAGGAAAAATTGCAAAATTTTTATTTTCTTCTAAATATCAAGTTTATATAATATATTTTTAAAATTGGAGTTATCTTCCTTTGACCATGATTATAGTTGAATCAACTACAATCAATGCTTTATACAATGCAATGTTTAATTTTGACTACCACTGATAAAAGACAGATCAAGTTGAATTTGGGTAGTGTCACTTTAACCATTATTGAGTTATGCCCCTTTATAAATAGAAAGATTGCAAAATTTTTTAGTTTCCATTCTGTAACTGAAGTTTTCCCCAGCCAAACATTGTGAAACCTATACTCAATATTCATTCCAACAAAACTCAGTAAAGATCAAGTACATTTTTTTTGTTTCAGTTCTCTAACTTGAGTTTGCCTCAACCAAATGTTATGAAACTTATACACAATGCTAATTACTACATAATACAGATTAAGTACGAAATTAGGTGGCAACACTTTTACCATTCTAGAGTTATGTCCCATTATAAACATAAAAATTGCTGAATTTTTTAGTTTGTCTCAACCAAATGTTGTAAAACTTATACACAACCGTTCTAGAGTTATGCGTCATTACAAATAGAAAAATTGCTGAATTTTTAGTTTCTGTTCTCTACTTAAGTTAGCCTCAACCAAATGTTATGAGACTTACACACAATGCTTATTACCACAAAACTCAGATCAAGTTCAAATTTGGGTAGTGTCACTTTTACCGTTCTTCAGTTATGTACCTTTATAACTATATGATATGCAAGCGGGGGCATCATCTGTGTCCACATGTGGACACTATCCACATTTATTCTATTAAACAACTAAAGCACAGCTGGATACGTCTTGCATCTAAATACATGTACCTAGTTGGATATTTGACATCATATTCTAGAATTTTCTATGGTTGGGAGAATTTAACTTTCAAAAGAGCATACAAAATGTAAAGTTTATGCTTGCGAGAGTTTAGATGCTGGGAGAACAACCTGCACAATCTAAACTAAATCTCTCATTTTGAGCCTCATATTTTCCTGAAAATCTGGCAAATTTATTCCTTTAGTATTAGATACCTTTTGAAATTAAATTGTGATATTTATATAATTTGTTTCAGTACAGAAGTTTAAGACTGAAATGCAAGTTGAAAAAAGTGCTTGTTTTAAGTTAAAGATAAAAGTGACTGTGACTGAAGTCTCTTAATGCCACACATAGGGATTACAATCCGGGGACTTTTTTTTTTCATCTGAATTTCTCAGTAATGAGTAATAGGATAACTATATATGGTATATGGGTTCCTTTAAAGGTCTTCATATCCATCACACAGTGTTCACCTGAACTTTACCTCATTTCATGGATCAGTGATAAGATTAAGTTTTGGTGGTCAAGTCCGCATCTCAGATACTGTTAGCAATAGTTCAACTATATTTGGTGTATGGAGTGATTGTAAGGTATACATGTCCAACTGGCAGGGGTCATCTGACGTTGACATCATTTTCATGGTTCATTGGAAAATATTTAGTTATTGTGATTTGGTCTATTTCTAAAGATACAATAAGTAATAGGGCCACTATATTTGGTGTATGGAATGATTGTAAGGTGTACATGTCTGACAGGTTTCACATGACCTTGACCTCATTTCATGGTTCATTGGTCAATGTTAACTTTTTATGGTTTTGTCAGTTTATCAGATACGATAAGCAAAAAGTCAATTATTTGGTAAATTGAATGATATGTCTGCCTGGCAGGGTTCATTATATTAGACCATGTAAGTATAATATTGACAGGAACTACTACGAGACCACTTCAATCGATTCATCTGCTATGTGGCGTGCCATTTAATGACATGTAAATCAAATTGAAACATGGCACGTTATTTACACACCAGCATGTGGCACACTACAATATTGTCTTCCTCAGTTCTTTCCATGATTACGAAAACAAGCGAAGAAATCAAAGGGTATTATACAGTCAAAGTAAACAGCAATTGTCAAACCTCTGCAGATTCCGCTACCTTACATCTGTCTATGAGTGCAAATAGAAGGAAACAGTGATGTGTGCAAGACATCATTAAAAATTCTTGAAAAAAACACATGCACAATGGAAATGTGTAACATATTTGTTAAATAAATACACCACGTTTATAGATTTATTTTTCAGTAGAAATTTCACGTTTTTATGTATATATATCGCAAGTTGTGACTGCTTTATTTACTGTTTTTTAACATCCAGTGAAATACATTTCATGCATATTCAAGACGATAGTAAAATAATTTTCAACTGGATTTTCGAAGGAAATATTGGTTATTGATTTGGGGATGTACAGAGGGTGGACAGGCGGCTGCCAAACAGTGTCTCTTCGATAACATGAAAACGCTGTGATGATTTTTTTTCAAATTAAGATATGTTGTTTCTTGTGACTAAATGAAGGTCAAGTTCAATTTTCATGATTTTAGTATATCTCCTTTTTGAGTTATCGCCATTTTTAATATCCAAATGTGGTATTTTTAAATATTTTTCTCTTGTAATCATAAACATATGTTAAATGTCTTATCTCACAATTATAATTGGAGTGACAGATTTATTTGAAATTTTCTATTTCCTAAGTGGTGATGATTATAAGCTATATTTTTAGACATTATGAAGTTAATTACATTATTAATTATTATATATGTAATGTTAGAGTACTATGTTAAATCATAGTTCTGTTCAAAGGGAAATAACCCTTCAGATTTGCAAGTATGATTTTCATTATTAATTAGATCTGGGAAATATCTTAGCATATGATAATCGTTTGAGTGACAGATTTATTTGAAAATTTTCTGTTTCCTGATAAGATCTGTAGGACTGTATATATAAAGTTTGAAATTTGCTAGTAGGACTGTATAAATGAAGTTTGAAATTTAATGTTCATTATTAGACATTTTGTAGATAATTAAGTCTCCCTAAACCATATATATTCTTACCCCCATCCCCCTTCAATTTGAGAATGTGCTTTTATCTTGTAAACGTTTGAGATCCCCACCCCTAAACCATTTATATTCTTGTATAGGACAATAAAAATAAATTAAATGAAATATTGGGGGAGTCCCCAGGTTCACCCACACCCCTCTTCTTTTTGAAAACTTGTAAACAGTCAAGATCCCCACCCCTAAATCAAATATATTCTTGTATGGGACAATAAAACAAATCAAATGAATTAAAAGGCCAGTCCCATGGGGTTACCCCACCCCCTCTTGTTTGAGAACTTGTAAACGGTCGAGATCTCCACCCCTAAACCATATATATTCCTGTACATCAATTCAAGATGATTTGAATGACATACAGGGTCAATCCATAGGCGTCACTTATGCATACCACAAACCAAATTGTACTGGACTTTGCCCAATGTCAGGCGACCATGGGAATGACGAATTATGGGAGCTTTGTTTGGGAGACTTCATAACAGCATCCTGTTACAATTATTTCTTGTTACTGATAAGTTTTATAGATTTTGAAAAGACATTGTATTAATGATAAATAAAATTTTGGATTTTTTTCTTCTTTTCTTTGGTAAATTGTTTGAAGAATTTTGTGGCAAGTTTGTTTGTTATTCTGTAAAAACTAATTTTCTGAATGCTATATATTTTTTTTTTGATGAAGTGAACTCCTTTAAAAACTAAGCTTATATTGTCTATTAATAAACATATATTTAAGATTTCTGATTTTGGGCCCAGTTTTCAAGTTGGTCCAAATCGGGGTCCAAAATTAAACTGTGTTTGATTTCAACATAAATTAAATATATATAGGGTTCTTTGAAATGCTTAATCCAAACCTGTATTTCTTTTCATTATTAATAAGATAATACCACATTGAGGTTCAAATGGTCCTAAATTAAACTTGTGTTTAATTTCATCAAAAATTGAATTCTTTGGTTCTTTGATATGCTGATTCTAACAATGTTTGAGTGTTAAATCATATCTAATTTTAGAGAACTTAGTCATCACTGGTTGTTGTTATTATTTTATTGATTATAATTTGAATAAATTGCTCCGATGAGCGCAGCTGGATACGGCCACAGAGGTCCAACCCTGAACAGTTGGGGCAAAAATGGACACAATATTCGCGCTTGATACAGGTCTGAATTTGGATTGTAATTATATAGTTGACACATAATAGGTTTCTGACACAGAATAACTGTAGTCAAAGAACTTAGAATTGGTTATATGATTTTGAATTTATATTCAATTTTTTGCTTTTGTGCAATACACTATGCTGTTGCAAATTTTATTGATTTCTATTTACTTATACTAAAGTTATTATCTGGAAATCATCCATCTTATGACGACGACGACGTGATACCAATATACGACCAAAAAATTTTTAATTTTTGCGGTCGTATAAAAATGACATACATAATCATGGCTAAAATTAATATTCCTTAATCAGCATTTTTAAAAAGTAACTTCTAAAAATAAATTGACAGCTAATCACCTCAAGACAATACAACATTTCATTATACATAATTTAACAGCAGTGTAAGGGAGGTAATCCAAACATAACATTGTACTTTTTTATATTGTCCATTAACCAGGAAACCCTTGTTTTTCCCCTAATTCCTAAACGGTTTGAGCCATAACCCCCCAAAGCCAATCCTAACCATCCCTTTGTGGTATGGAAACTTGTGGTATAATTTCAGAGAGATCGATACACCGTTACACAAGTTATTGTCTGGAAACTAGAAAAAGGCTTATTTGGGCCCCTTTTTGGCCACGTAATTCCTAAACTGTTAGGACTATAACCCCCAAAATCAATCCCAACCTTCCTTTTTTGGTTATAAACCCGGTGTTAAAATTTCATACATTTCTATTTACTAATACTAAAGTTATTGTCCGGAAACCAAATGTCTTAGGACGATGCTGACGACGACTACGTCGTGATACCAAGATACGATCGTCGTATAAAAATTGCATCATATCATATTTTAGAGAACTATTTATCCAGTTTGAGTTATTTCCCTTTGCACAGAAAATATTATGGATAAAATTAACCCGTGTTTCATTTCAACATAAATTAAATATATATAGGGTTCTTTTAAATGCTGAATGTAAACCTGTATTTAAAAATTAGATTTTTGGGCCCAGTTTTCAAGTTTGTCCAAAATTAAACTTTGTTTGATTCAACAAAAATTGAATTTATGGGGTTCTTTGAAAGGCTGAATCTAACCATGTATTCACTCACCGTATTGAGAGATTTTGGATTGTGGGCTCCTTTATCAAATTGGTCCACATTGAGGTCAAAAGGGTCCTAAATTAAACTTTTGTCTCATTTAATCATTCTTTGATATGCTGATTCTAAAATGTACTATGATTTTGGATATTGGACCATAATAGGTAAATGTCCAATTTCAAATATTTCAGTTCTTTGACCACATTCATTTTGTGTCACAAACCTATGCTGTGTCAAATATTCAATCACAATCCAAATTCAGAGCTGTTTTAAGCTTAAATGTAGTGTCCATACTTGCTCAACTGTTCAGGGTTCGACCTCTGCAGGACAATCCAGTTTGCTGTCATTCTAACAGCCTCTTGTTCTGATTTAAATTAAAAATCAAAGAAATTTGGAATATTTTAGAATTAAAAGGCTTTTCACTAAATCCAGGGTTGGATCATTGATCGGTAGTAGAACAATGTTTCCGCTGAGCCACTGCATGGTTGGAAGTTTCTAAGCATATTATGCTGTAAAGCTGTAAAATCATATAAACAAGTATCATTTGGACAGAAAATGATAGAATATTATATCGGACAGAGATGGTTTCACCATTCCCTAACATTTTGTGTGTCTTCCTGTCACATATATATGAATAGCTACATAATGTAGTGATACCTCTTTTTCTATATTGTTATTTTGTACTTGCTAGATTAATTTTAGTATTTTAACTGGAAATTCCTACTTTCCTGACACTAAACTATATATATTACTTGATTCATCACAGTGTCTATTTATATCAGGAACATTTTTGTGACTCTGGAGTAAACTGAACAGGCCCTTATGACGGTTTTAACCTAACCCCTGAAAACATAAAATATTTTTGTCACTCACTATTTTTCATTTTTTATGCATCAGTGGATTTGTTTTAATAAGTTGTTAATGACTAAAGGTCAACCGACGTGGTATAAATAAGCTACAGTGTTTTCCAACAATTATTAGTATTATACTGTCTCTATAAAAACCATGTGATTGATTAAAAGCATCTCTGGTCAATTTATGAAGGCAGAATCGCAGATAGTCACAAAAGGAAATAAATGATAGCGTTCTAATTAGGGGTTTCCATACCTTTTATACAGCGCTCCCATGGTTATAAATAAGTGCTAATAAATCGTTGTAGTTTGTCAATATAATACTTCCATGTTTGGACAATGTTTTGATTTTGTAGTTTGTCAATATAATACTTCCATGTTTGGACAATGTTTAGATTTTGTAATTTGGTCTGTAAAGTACTATAAGCAATAGGACCACTATATTTAGTGTATGAAATGATTGTAAGGTGAATGTGTCTGTCTGTCATGGTTCATCTGACCTTGATCTCATTTTCATGGATCAATGATAATGATTTGTTTATGCCTTACTTGTAGTATAACCTTCATATTACAGACTTACAACATAAATTCAATCAAGATAAGAATAACAGTTGAAACATTTCAGCATGTCCACTCTTGTTATATCAGATGTTCCTGGACAATACGCTAAGTTTTTGTCCTCAGAAACAACTATAACTTTTTTGAATTGGATCCTCTTTGGCACATTGAAGTAATATTGGACTTGTCATCAAGGCCAAAGTTACAATTCTTAGAAAGTACCTTCTAAAAAACATTTGAAAGATTTGATTTTTTAAACCACTAAATTCATTAAAAATAAAAGGAAAATGTAAATTCCAATAGAGTTTTTACTTTTAAGATAAATTCTAACCTCTGCTGGCAGTCATTTGGAATTTCTAATCGCACCCAAGTATCTTAATTTGTTAAGGACCTTCACAAGAACATATCTGTCAAGTTTGGTTTCAATTGGTTCAGCCATCATTCTTAAAAGAAGATTCCCTTAGTCCAGCCATTCAGGCATAAGAAATGGTTATGAAAGCCATGAGTGTAGATGAAATCGAACTAATGTATGAAAAATTGGAAAGGAACTTGTAAGGAAAGTCCATGCTAAGTTAGATTTCATTCTGTCAAGTACTGGAAAAAGCGAACTGATTGCAATAGCTCACATGACTATCAACTAAGTGTTTTTATTATGCCTGTATAGTCTGGAATCTTTTCAGTGGTTATTACTATCTTGTGATGGTTTTTAATAAGGAATAAGTTGTTGGTTTCTATTATGTTGCTATATCTATTAGATTCATTGACCACCTTGTCTTAACTTTGTGATGTGAATATAACTGATGCTTAAAAGTAGACTAGGGTAACAAACTAAGTATTTCAGGGTGTTCATAAAATTGTACTCAATAAGCTGAGTACAATATGTGTGCTCGGGTCACCAAATCTAGTAGAATCTGAGTACCATGATTATGCTTGAACTTTTTATGACCACAAGGTGGTAGTAATAGTGCTGATGGATACAATTTAAATTCACATAATTTGTCTACTTTTGCAATCCCAGTATCTAGTTTATAAGTATATAACAAAATAGACAGCTTTATAATTTATTATAGTACAGACTAATGGTTTGTGTTCCATAATGTCAAAATAAATAGCCAGCCAGCCTATCATTCACAGGAGTGTTTTTTTATAGTCTACAGTTTGTGCAGTTTCTCGTTAAGTGCTAATTGTGCCTTGGTTAGGTTAGCTAGATAAACTACCATCAATAAATCCTACAAAAAAACAAGACAAACATTTAATGTCACAGAAATTTACAGTCAAATTATTATACAATATTTTTAAGTTGTCATTTTAATTATACTGTTCTAGTCTAGAATTAGAAACAAATTGCCAAGAAAAGGTTTCTGAAATATTTTATTAAAGAGTTATTCCAATGGGGTAAGAAGGCACCTCTTTTTAAATCGGAAGGGTGGTGGCTATTTAAACAAGAAAGCCTGAAAAATTATAGGATATCAATTAAAATTTAATGCAAGATGGATTGAAATTAAAAGTGCCTTTCCCTCCCCATTCATTATTTCTGAAACAGCCCTTTTTGAAAACTTCATAATACTTTCACCAATGGAGACTAGGAATTCCTAGAAACCATGTGCAAGCACAAAATAACCTTCTTACAACAATTTTTACTATTAAATGATAATTTAGAAAAATATACTTTATATGACATGTCACTTTGTGAAAAGTAACTTCATTACCAAAATATTTTGTGATATGCTTTTTATATGTACAATCAGTCTCAGATTTTTTAAAAAGACAAATAAACAAAATATGTATTTTTCTATGCAAAGACCTTTTTAATAAGTAAAACTCAAATTCACTCATAACAAAGCAAGTTCAAATTCTTGTTACTTCTACCAAGCTGTAACACTTTCTATAGAGTTTATTTCAACTCTTTACTATGATAAATCAAGAAACATTCTATGTCTGCATAAAAAAATTACCTCTCTGAAAGAATCTAACCATACCAGTAGAACTATCCCCCCTCCCCAAATTATGATGTATTTCAATATTTCTAATGAAAAACATATCATATTTAAAACACTGTCTGTTATATTGAATTTTTTTAACATCCTAACAAGCAGCACTTTTTGCTACCAATTTTGTATTTACCTTCATGCTAGCATTTAACATTGTATCAAATTCATCTTTGTCTATCTGTGGTACACTGTCCATTAAATCCATTAGAAATCTTCCTACATTACTGTCAGCTGGAATCTTGTTAGCCTAAATTTAAAAAGTACTTTCTTAAAAGTTACTCCCAATAATGTGGTTAATTAATCTTTGTCATAACAGTTGTTAAATGATTTGGTATATTACATTTTTTTTCAGAATCTATTATTACTGTTTTTCTTCCACATTTGTTTACTTTTTCTTTCATCACAATTTTTTCACTTTACTCTTGAGCCATACGATAGCTGAATTTCTAATGAAAAGTGTCATGGTTAAATGCACTACATACGGAAAAGCTGTTAGCATAAAGAACTTTTTTTTACACCAGACACAGTGCAAATTAATGGATGGCTTGTCTTTTGAAGATTATCATATTTCATGACTTAAGGATGTATACCTCTGAGGAGCCATCAATTTCTAGAATTAAACTTTTGTTCTTAACCTGATTTTTGGGTTTATATGACTATAAAAAATAATTGGTGAAGGAAAAAATCATATGGCGGTCACTTTTTTTTGGAAACGGCCCTTTGAAAGTACCCAATTTTGATGATTTTCCCTTTTTTCATCAATTTTTACCTATTTTTGGGCTATTATCGTGAAAAAAATCACAGTTCCACAATTAAACTTTTTTTCATACTTTCAATAAAGATAAAATGGACCAATCTGAATAAATTTAACTTAAAAAAACTATACGTAGGTGTTAATATAAGAAAGTTTTATCATATTTTGATGCTTTTTTGTGTCAAATTTACCATGCTGTAAATTTTGTAAATTTGCGATTTTTCTCTGTTTTAAGAACAAAATGCATATATTATTTCAACTTCTTTGTTATAAATGATTGAAAAAATACATATCTAAGAAATTTGAAAAGAAAAATGTGATATGGGATGTACATGTTTCTGGTAAAATCATTTCTTGTAACCCTCACACATTTTCTCTAAATTTAGGCTAAAAAGACTGACTTGATTGGTAATAAAATTTGAAAAATTGATTACTCAAAAACTACTCATTGTAAATACACAATTTTTTCACAGAGTTAAGTTTGATTATAACATTTTAAAAATTCATTGATATTTTCCTCTTGTATCACATATTTTAGAAATAATTCCAGAACGAGATTTCAACGAGACTGAAACGTCAGAAGAATACATCCTTAAGTGACTCAAATTAATTAATAGAACCTAGTGCCCAAGCAATCAATTAGTCTTATTGAAAAATTATTTGGTTTCCCACACTTTTTGTGTGCATGAGTAATTCATGTTCTAAAAGGTATAACTATGGAGGGATGTTCAAGAATTATTTATTTACGGGGAGAGGAGTGGAAGGCCCTTAACATTAAAATTTATATAGGGGTAGTGGGGTTTGAAACAACTTTCCATTCAATAATACATTAAATTTCTCATTAAAGCTGTGTGAGTGGATGGATTGGGGTCATAGTGGGGAAAAGTCCTCCCCACCACCCCAATTAAATTTTGGAATAACCTAGACTTTAAAAAAAATGTTTCAGAATGTTACATTAAAATTAAGGAACGCTACTGTCTCAGGAAAATCTGGGTTATTATCAGTCAAATTTACAACTTTCATAAATTATAAGATCAACACCACAGCTATATACAAATCTTACATCCTTATATAAATATCTGCCATTATCTTATTTTCCAAGGACCTCCTACCTACTACATCATCTAGATATTTCCTGCATTGTACATAATATATCTTTACAACACAGTCTAAAATTTCTCCATTGTAGCAAATTTATCTTTCCATACACCTCATACTTACTAAAATATCTTCTATATATTCCTGTGTTATAGCTAATTTACCTTTCCATACACCTCATACTTACTAAAATATCCTCTATATATTCCTGTGTTATAGCTAATTTACCTTTCCATACACCTCATACTTACTAAAATATCCTCTATATATTCCTGTGTTATAGCTAATTTACCTTTCCATAAACCTCATACTTACTAAAATATCCTCTATATATTCCTGTGTTATAGCTAATTTACCTTTCCATACACCTCATACTTACTAAAATATCCTCTATATATTCCTGTGTTATAGCTAATTTACCTTTCCATACACCTCATACTTACTAAAATATCCTCTATATATTCCTGTGTTATAGCTAATTTATCTTTTAATGAACTACAAGCTCTGGATACTTGAGTCAAGTCAGATACCATCTGTACTGTTCTCTTGGGATTATGTTTTCCCTTTTGTATGAGATCAACTATAAATAAAAAATTTGCATTTTTTACTAAGACATTAGAAATGTAAGTTTGTGCTTGCGGCTATTCCAGGGAAAAAGGGTGATATATAAGTTTTTATATTGGATATAAAGTAGATTAAAGTAAATAAGTCAAACCAAAATATAATGAGACAATGTTAAAAAGAATGGAAAAGATATATATTGTAACATTCAAAATGTATATAAATATAGATTCTTCCATTGCGTCGAGTGCCATACAATATTTCTCCACTTGAGACAAGTAAATTTTTTAATTCAAAACATGACACTCGCTGAGCGCTTTAAATTTTTAAAATTTAACTGTCGAGAGTGGAGAAATATCGTATTGCACGATATTAGATGGTAGAATCTGTTTCTCTGACGATTATTAGAAGATACGTAGACAAAGTTAATCCTTCTTTTCAAATCATCTGCAAAAAGATGTGTTCTTTTTAAGTTACATCATTCCTTCTTTTCAAATCATCTGCAAAAAGATGTGTTCTTTTTAAGTTACGTAATCAGGCATGGTCGCCTTTTTTCATTACATCACAATAGGAAATTAAGAAGAAAGCAAGAACATTTGACAACATAATTGAATGTTTACCAAAAAAGAACTAAATCAACAAATCACATGTTGATTAAATAGATATAATCAACAGGTAAGGAAAAAGATAAATTAGCAAAGATTAGAGAAAATCATATACAAGAATTACATAAAATGTATCTCACATCATTTTCATTTGTTCAAGATTCACACTAATAAGTGCAGGAGTAAAATTTAGTATTTACAGAAACAATGCAAGTCAATGCCTTATCCTGGTAACTATATGACAGAGAGAAACATGTCAATAAACTGTATGTGTTGACTTCTAGGAAAGAAAAGGATAAAGCTACAAAATTTAATAAAATGCTCCGCAGGGCGCAGCTTGATACAACCGCAGAGGTCGAACCCTGAACAGTTGGGGCAAGTATGGAGACAACATTCAAGCTTGATACAGCTCTGAATTTGGATTGTGATTAAATATTTGACACAGCATAGGTTTCTGACACAGAATGAATGTGGTCTAAGAACTTAAAAAAATTTAATTTACCTATTATGGTCCAATATCCAAAATCTAAATACATGGTTAGATTCAGCAAATCAAAGAATCCTAAGAATTCAATTTTTGATGAAATCAAACAAAGTTTAATTTTGGACCCTTTTGACCTCAATGTGGACAAATCTGATAATGGGGCCAAAAAATCAAAATACATGGTTAGATTCAGCATATCAAAGAACCCCATATATTCAATTTTTGTTGAAATCAAACAAAGTTTAATTTTGTACCCCAACTTGGACCAACTTGAAAACTGGGCCCATAATCAAAAATCTAAACACATGTTTAGATTCAGCATATCAAAGAACCCCAAGAATTCAATTTTTGTTAAAATCAAACTAAGTTTAATTTTGGACCCATTGGACCTTAATGTAGACCAACTTAAAAAACAGGACCCATAATTAAAAATCTAAATACACGGTTAGATTTGGCATATCAAAGAACCCTAATAATTCAATTTTTGATGAAATCAAACAAAGTTTAATTTTGGACCCTCTTGACCTCAATATGAACCAATTTGATAGCGGGGCCCACAAATAAAAATCTAAATACATGGTTAGATTCAGCATATCAAAGAACCCCATATATTCAATTTTTGTTGAAATCAAACAAAGTTTAATTTTGGACCCCAATTTGGACCAATTTGAAAACTGGGCACAAAATCAAAAATCTAAATACATGCTTAGATTCAGCATATCAATGAACCCCATATATTCATTTTTGTTTTAAATCAAACTAAGTTTAATTTAGGACCCTTTTGACCTCAATGTGGACCAATTTGATAATGGGGCCAAAAAATCAAAATACATGGTTAGATTCAGCATATCAAAGAACCCCATATATTCAATTTTTGTTGAAATCAAACAAAGTTTAATTTTGGACCCCAACTTGGACCAACTTGAAAACTGGGCCCACAATCAAAAATCTAAACACATGTTTAGATTCAGCATATCAAAGAACCCCAAGAATTCAATTTTTGTTAAAATCAAACTAAGTTTAATTTTGAACCCTTTGGACCTTAATGTAGACCAACTTAAAAAACGGGACCCAAAATTAAAAATCTAAATACACGGTTAGATTTGGCATATCTAAGAACCCTAATAATTCAATTTTTGATGAAATCAAACAAAGTTTAGTTTTGGACCCTTTTGACCTCAATATGAACCAATTTGATAGCAGGGCCCACAAATAAAAAATCTAAATACATGGTTAGATTCAGCATATCAAAGAACCCCACATATTCAATTTTTGTTGAAATCAAACAAAGTTTAATCTTGGACCCCAATTTGGACCAACTTGAAAACTGGGCCCAAAATCAAAAATCTTAATACATGCTTAGATTCAGCATATCAAAGAACCCCATATATTCATTTTTGTTTTAAATCAAACTAAGTTTAATTTAGGACCCTTTGGACCTTAATGTAGACCAATTTGAAAACTGGACCCAAAATTAAAAATCTAAATATTCTGAAATCTGAAATGAGAAAAAATTGACCCCCCACAATTTCTTCTTACCCCCCCCCCCCCCCGCCCTTTTTTTCCCCCAAAAATTCTTTCCCTCAAGATATGGTCATAATCTCAATTCAAATTTCAAATGGAGTTTGCAACCATAATTACCCATTTAAATTTAACATAGTGCTAACTTAATCTATTTTATAATAGAATTTAAAATATGGTGTCAAATCTTTCATATGGATTTTTTTGTAAAAAAAAAAGATGCAACATTTGCAGATATTTTTACTGGTCTTCCTTTATAAATATGCATTTCTTTAAACATAATTTAAAAGCAGTGTAAGGGAAGTAATCAAAACGTTGTATTGGATTACCTCCCCCTAATTCTTTAACTGTTGGCACCATAACCCCCAAAAATCAATCCCAACCTTCCTTTTGTGGTATTTAACCTTATGGTAAAATTTCATAGAGATCCATTCACTTAAACTAAAGTTATAGTGCGAAAACCAATGTGTCTTCGGATGACGACGACATACCAATATACGACCGCGGTCGTATAAAAATAGCTTAATCATAAAAAGAGCACCACATCACATTTGTAGACAACTTTTTTTTAATTCAAACTTACCACCAACTCTTTCTGGTTCATAAGCTATCATTTCCACTTGAACTGGTGTAAACATAGTTCCCATGGTCTTTCCTGGTACTCCAATTGTTGAACTAATAATAAATTATCAACAATACAATGTAAGAATACAATAAGCGAAATTAGACAACACTATGGGTTAAAGTATCTGAATCGTAATTTGACATGTGCTATGCAAAGCAAATGTCATTGTTCTGAAAAAATTGAACAAAATTTTGAAACCCTATTCAGCTGGTAAATTTTGCCATGCAGATAGCATAATTTTCAAATAAAAAAACATTCCTAACATCTTTGCTAGCCAAGGGTTACGATCCAAATTGCATGTTGTTATTTATTGGCCAGTGTTCCAGCTAGGATTTCAAAAGGGCAGGGTGCCAATCCTGAATAAAATGCTCCGCTGGGGCGCAGCTTGATACGACCGCAGAGGTCGACCCTTGAACAGTTTGGGCAAGTATGGACACAACATTCAAGCTTGATACAGCACTGAATTTGGATTGTAATTAAGTATTTGACACAGCATAGGTTTCTGACACAGAATGAATGTGGTCTAAGAACTTAAAAATTTTTAATTTACCTATTCAAACCATATCATTATTATTTGCTTTTATATATAAATCAGAAATAACCAATTTAAAATGGAAAATTTTAAAGAAAAAAAGAAACCCCCCCCCCCAATTTTTTGAACCCCCTTATGATTCATCACCCCAAAACTCAATCCCAGCCTTCCCTTTGTGGTATGGTACCTTGCAGTACAATTTCAGAGAGATCCATACACTTACACACAAGTTATTGTCCTGAAACTAGAAAAATGCTTGTTTTTTTGCCCCTTTATGGCCCCTTATTTCTAAAATTTTGAGGCAATTACCCCCAAAATCAATCCCTGCCATCCCTTTGTGGTATGGTATCTTGCAGTACAATTTCAGAGAGATCTATACACTTGAACACAAGTTATTGTCTGGAAACTAGAAAAATGCTTGTTTTTTTGCCCCATTATGGCCCCTAATTTCTAAAATTTTGAGGCAATTATCCCTAAAATCAATCCCAGCCTTCCCTTTGTGGTATGGTACCTTGCAGTACAATTTCAGAGAGATCCATACACTTGACCACAAGTTATTGTCTGGAAACTAGAAAAATGCTTATTTTTGGCCCCTTATTCCTAAACGTTTTGGGCAATTACCCCCAAACTCAATTCCAGCTTTCCCTTTGTGATATGGAACCTTGTAGTACAATTTCATAAAGATCCATACACTAACACACAAGTTATTGTCATGAAACTAAAAAAATGCTTGTTTTTTGCCCCTAATTCCTAAAATTTGGAGGCAATTACCCCCAAAATCAATCCAAGGATTCCCTTTGTGATATGGAAGCTTGTGGTACAATGTCAGAGAGATCCATACACTTTCACACAAGTTATTGTCATGAAACTAGAAAAATGCTTCTTTTTTGCCCCTTTTTGGCCCCTAATTCCTAAAATTTGGAGGCAATTACCCCCAAAATCAATCCCAGCATTCCCTATGTGATATGGAACCTTGTGGTACAATGTCAGAGAGATCCATACACTAACACACAAGTTATGTCTGAAAGTTACAATAAAATGCTCCGCAGGGCGCAGCTTGATACAACCGCAGAGGTCGAACCCTGAACAGTTGGGGCAAGTATGGACACAACATTCAAGCTTGATACAGCTCTGAATTTGGATTGTGATTAAATATTTGACACAGCATAGGTTTCTGACACAGAATGAATGTGGTCTTAGAACTTAAAAATTTTAAATTGGACATTCACCTATTATGGTCCAATATCCAAAATCTAAATACATGGTTAGATTCAGCATATCAAAGAACCCCAAGAATTCAATTTTTGATGAAATCAAACAAAGTTTAATTTTGGACCTTTTTGACCTCAATGTGGACAAAGTTGATAATGGGGCCCAAAAATCAAAAATCTAAATACATGGTTAGATTCAGCATATCAAAGAACCCCATATATTCAATTTTTGTTGAAATCAAACAAAGTTTAATTTTGGACCCCGATTTGGCCCAACTTGAAAACTGGGCCCATAATCAAAAATCTAAATACATGTTTAGATTCAGCATATCAAAGAACCCTAAGAATTCAATTTTTGTTAAAATCAAACTAAGTTTAATTTTGGACCCTTTGGACCTTAATGTAGACCAATTTGAAAACGGAACCAAAAATTAAGAATCTAAATACACGGTTAGATTCGGCATATCAAAGAACCCCAATAATTCAATTTTTGATGAAATCAAACAAAGTTTAATTTTGGACCCTTTGGACCTTAATGTGGACCAATTTAAAAACGGGGCCCAAAATCCAAAAACTTAATACACGGTTAGAATCAGCATATTAAAGAACCCCAAGAATTCAAGAATAAAACCCCATTGAAATTGGTCAAGAAATAAGCAATTTATACGAAGTATCTTCTTTTGCACAATACTGTGCAATTGAATATTTCTTGCTATTGCGCAATACTGTACAATTGACAATTTCTTGCTATTGCACAATATTGTGCTATTGGATATTTCTTGCTATTGCACAATACTGTGCAATTGAAGATTTCTTGCTATTGCGCAATACTGTGCAATTGAAGATTTCTTGCTATTGTGCAATACTGTGCAATTGAAACTTTCTTGCTATTGCACAATACTTATTATATAATAATTTACACATCCTGTTTGGTGTGTATCTCCTACCAGATCATTATTATTTGCTTTTAAATATAAAACAGAAATAACCAACTTAAAATGGAAAACTTTAAAAGAAAAAAAAAAGGAAAAAAAAAAAAATCCCCCCCCCCCAAATTTTTTGAACCCCCTTATGATTCATCACCCCCAAACTCAATCCCAGCCTTCCCTTTGTGGTATGGTACCTTGCAGTACAATTTCAGAGAGATCCATACACTTGAACACAAGTTATTGTCTGGAAACTAGAGACATGCTTATTTTTGGCCCCTTTTTCCTAAACGTTTTGGGCAATTACCCCCAAACTCAATTCCAGCTTTTCCTTTGTGATATGGAACCTTGCAGTACAATTTCAGAAAGATCCATACACTTACACACAAGTTATTATCATGAAACTAGAAAAATGCTTGTTTTTTGCCCCTTTTTTGGCCCCTAATTCCTAATATTTTGAGGCAATTACCCCCAAAATCAATACCAGCATTCCCTGTGTGATATTGAACCTTGTGGTACAATGTCAAAGAGATCCATACACTAACACACAAGTTATGTCTGGAAGTTACAAAAATGCTTATTTTTGGCCCCTAATTCCTTAACTGTTAGTACCATAACCCCCAAAATCAATCCCAACCTTCCTTTTGAGGTATTGAACATTATGGTAAAATTTCATAGAGATCCATTCACTTAAACTAAAGTTAGAGTGCGAAAACAAATGTGTCTTCGGACGATGCCAGACGACGACGACGATGCCAACGTCATACCAATAAAAAGGGCATTTAACGCGTGATATGATAATATGAAAAGGGCATGTTTTAATAAAGATTATAGTCAAACATTGTTTGTTCATTGAATCACTGGTTATATATATACAAGAACAACATCATTGTGCCAGAGAAAAATATCTTTCTACTTTTTAGACTGAAAACTTATCAAGCAGCTTGTCACACAAGTTTTAAATCATTGCTTGGCACAGTTAAGCTTTAAATGCAGTATTTTTTGAAAAATGTCCTGCTTCATTCTGTTTCTATGGTCTGACACACTTTACAAGTTTCACCTTTCTACCTTTTCTGTGCTTAATGGCAATACAGCACAAAACAGCTGTAAATGCACAATGTATGGATATAGTGAACAGTGAAAATTTGGATTGAAAATAAAAAATACAGAAAAAGATGACCAAGGCACCCTACCAACCCTGCTACTAAGACCCTCTTTAACTTTTCCCATAACTCAAAACACCTTAACATATAAATTCTAAAGCCAGAAGTATGAAGACATATTTTATAATATCTTAGTAGGGGGTTACTCAATGCTAGGAAAAAATAAGATTGAGTTATCTTTCTTTATTTGGGTGTGCTCCTTCTTTGGAGGATAATAAACAGTACGTAGAAGATGTAAATACGATCAACAATATGGCAGCCGATTTTGTAATTTTCGTATAAAAAATGAAGGCAGTCAATGAAAAATACATCTTAATTTGCTTTTTATTCACAGAAAACAATAAGAGCAATGTTTTTAAAGAGTTGATTATGGTTTTCGACTTTCTGTCAATTAAGTTTTCTCCATGAAACTACGGTAAACATTGCTAATTGTGCCCAAGTTGTATGAACATTTCTTCAAGTTCAAAGACAAATGCCGACTGACCGATTCTATTTGAATGAATTAATGTTGATGATCATTAAATGACCCATCCGATAAACAGATTACCTATAACAACAGATTATGACACCTGTTGTAACCGTTGATTAGCTTGGGGTCGTAAACAAAGTCATATACTTGTCGCCAGGTAAATTTTCGTAATTGGCTGATCATATCAATACGAACAAAATATTATACCAATCGATCTTCAAAAAAGGCAGGGCGCCCTGCAAACTGTAAAAAGGGCACAGGGCGACACTCGGGAAAGGGCGGGCGGACCGCCCTGTGAAAACGACCTAGCTGGAACACTGTTGGCACTTTTCACTTTGAAAATCTTGCGATTCTCATAGACCATTCAATATTAATCAGGTTATGAGCATAATCATTGTTAATTACTGGAGTATTAATACTCCTGTGTACTGTTTTCAAATCATTATTTTCCTATCAGTTCAGAACAGTCACAAAATTAACAGTACATTTAATACACTGTTTACACAAGGAATAAGGGCCTTTTATGGAATGATTATTTCTAGCACCTGATGACAAAAAGGTTCTAGTTTTATTCAGGAAGGCATGCAAGCTGCTAAAAATGGAATATGGAATATCAATTATTTCAAGACCTGGCCTTTCACTCATAAAACTTTACTCGGTACTCAGTGTACAAAATTGTGCTGATAAAAACCAAATCCAGCATTTTGATTGGTTGATTTTTGAGCCTGAGTATGATTATCGTATTCGTATGTTTATGGCTGTAAGGATTGTTGGGGTCTTTGAGATCCATGGGGAAATACTGGGTATCTATGATGAGTTTATTTGAACATTAAATACATTTTCATTGAACATGGTAACTGAAGTCTGGAAGTATTCACAGCTAACCATGAAAAAAACACTGATGGATCAACTTGTCCCATCATAAAACATCTCTAATATAACTTATACTATCCTTATCTTACTGTTTAGCAGTTTATATAAGTAAGTGGTATTTCAATGAATTTATCCCCATGGTTGGCATTTCAAAATCATCCAAATGTTCATTTATGAATTTAGATATAAACTCTTGATAAGTCATTTCTTTTTTTCTGGAAAGGCAGGTAAATGATGTTTTTTCTTATTGAAATGACTCGAGTTCATTTACACCGTATCTCTTCATTTTATATACAAGTAAACCAACCCAAAATATACATATACTGTTTGTATCAGCTCAAAATGTTCTCAAAAGAAACAAACAAGTCAATAATTTTAAATAAATCTACCGCTAATTGGAGTGGTACTTACCTAACATAAGCCTTTATATCCATTTTAGAACTTTTTAGACTGGTATCAACAGTTAAATGCACTGGATTTTTAGATTCTCTAGTATAATATTCATGGATAAGTACTGAGTGTTCAGATACTTCATTCCCTGTAGAATACCTATAAAATATTTATTTCATTTTAAGTATATGAACTTAATTAATTTCACTGTAGGAATTCAATATCATGAAGATTTAAAAAAAAAAAAAGACAATAAAATATTTCAGGATACTTATATACTTGCTTTAAATACAACAGAAATACAAATGTTCAAAAACAAAAACAACAAGCATTCTGAGTTTGATTTGCCGGACTGACGGATGGACAGACATGACAGACAGACACACATACAGAGTGCAGACCTAAAGTCCCCTTTGACTTCTTCAGTAGGGGACTAATAAACATGCATAACTAAACTTACCATCCAACTATAACCTCTGAAGCATTGACTTTTCTGTGGAGTTCATACATGTTTCTAGCATATTCAAGATCAGCAGCAACCTACAACAAGACAACAACCTTAATCTCATGGTTAAAACTCAAGTTTTTATGTCCTTAATTAAAAATTCTAGTATTGCAACTGAAAAAAAAATCACTGAAAAGTTTACCTTTGGTACAAGAAAATCAAAATTTGGTTTGCCTTTCAAAGAACATTAAATAATTTTGTTTACTGTGCTTATCCTAAAGGCTTTGTACTGCATTTGTTTCATACAAACAACCTTTCACTAGCTATCAGCTAAACTGTTTTACCAGTTGATCAGTTTGTACAGATGAATTCAAACTGCAGTTTCCTAAAGAGCCCTCTCAACCATACATTTGTATGTCCAATATTAATAACTAAACATGAACATCTTTTATATCTATGTTCTCTCATGTTAATTTTTCTGACTGTATGACTTGTTGCCATGTAAATGAAATATTAAATCCAAAAATTAAAATTTCATTTACTGACTAAACTGAACTTTAAAGGCAACTTTTATATTGCAAAAAGAAATAATTCAACAGTTACTTAGTTTATTTTGGTGTTCCTAGCCTGAACGATAATCAGATAAAACTGATATGCAAGTAAAGTCACAAGTTATTAAACATGGACAAAATAAAATTTCACCACTGTTCATTGTTTAACCAACTTACCTCATCCTCAGATTCATTATGTGGAACTGCAAAACAGTTTGTTACCTCTAATGATCCTTTATCATATATTCCTGAAACAGCAGAGAATCAAATAATTAATCCTATTTTTCAAAAATACACAATTAGAATACCTACTGTTAATTCAGAAATTATTGCGTGCATTTATTATTGCGATTTTTGAAAAATTAACAAAAATGCGAGTTCAACTATTGCGAATTTTGGAAAAACTGCATACAGATATATGTATTTGATATCGAAATGCGAGTTTTTATTATTGCGATACTGAAGTAGTCGCATTATTCACATTAATAAAAACCTCGCAATAATATCTGAATTTACAGTATTCCTTTTAAAAAGATTTTTCAAATTTGTTCTACAATTTACCATGGCACACAGTTATGTGCAGCTGTGCAGCTTTATTTATCATTCAGAAAGTACTTAACTTGCATGGATTTTGTAATCAATTCTATTTTATTCGTTGAACTATTTCTCAATCTATCAATGTCATGTGGTAACTCTTATGTTTAAGAAAAAAGGGATATTGAAGCATTAGAAAATGCAATTAGTGAGAGAGGAAACTAAATGTTAAATAAATGGGGAATGTGTCCATGGGACACAAAGTGCCCCCGCTTGCATATCTGCATATAAAGTTATAAAGGGACATAACTGAAGAATGGTAAAAGTGATGCTACCCAAATTTGTACTTGATCTGAGTTTTGTAGTACATGTAATAAGTAGTGTGTATAAGTTTCATAATATTTGGTTGAGGCCAACTTAAGTCAGAGAACAGAAACAAAAAAATCAGCAATTTTTCCATTTGTAAAGGAGCATAACTCTAGAACGGTTAAAGCGACACCACCAAAATTCAAACTTGATCTGTGTTTTGTGGTAATAAGCATTGTGTATAAGTTTCATAACATTTGGTTGAGGTAAATAAAGTTAGAGAACGGAAACCAACTTTGGGACGTACCAAAGGACAGACATACAGACAGACAAGGGTAAAACTTAATGACCCCTCAGCTACAGCAGGGGCATAAAAAACAAGAGTGCACACAATGTCTCGTCTGCTTTATTGATCATAATTGAATTTTTGTTGAAAGTCTGCAAGATCAAGGTTTTACTACAGTTATCACATAAATAACAATATACAACAAATGTATAAAGATTCACGAAAATAAGGTCCTGATTATATAAACCGTACATGTATACTTGACAATTATTCCATACACCAAATATAGTTGAAATACTGCTTATAGTCTCTGCGAAACAGACCTAATCACGAAAACTAATCATTGGCTAAAAAAATTAAGTCCCCCTGGCTTGTAGGTTAAAATGTTTATTGTGAAGACTGAGGTCAGATGAACCCTCCAGATGAACATGTACTGATGTTGTGTCACGGATGGATACCCTATATCCTTTGTTTTTCTATTATGTGCACCGAATATTAATCCAAACATGAAATATAGTTTAAACTTTATAACATACACCAATGAACCATGAAAATGGGGCCAAGGTCAGATGAACCTTGTCAGACATACATGTACACCTTACAATCATACCATACACCAGATATATTTGACCTACTGCTTATAGTACTGTTTTGGAGAAAAAGACCTAATCAAGAAACGTAACATAATTTGACCAGAAAAGCAGGAAATTAAGGTCATTATTGGGTCCACAAAATTTTCTCACACTAGTGTATTGAATGAATTTGACAGCTAATGCTCCTATCTACCTATTATTTATTTGGACATTTTACTACATAGTGCTTTAACTTTTTCTTTTCCTGCGTAATTTGCCGCATAGTGCTTAAATGTGCAAATAAATGTTGAACATATTCTACATAAATTGCAGATGAACGCATCTATCCAGTATTAACAGTTGATTTAAGACATTAACCTTCAGTGCTTAACTATAGACTGCTATAAAACTAATGTATATATTCGCACACCTAGCATATAATAGCAACAACTATTTAAGGCATGGAGCAATGATGATCATTACGTGCATAAATTATCATCTGTCTTTAACAGGTTGGGAACAACCCCCCAAATGAGGGATATCCCTTTAATGAGGGACTTCCCTCAGGCAAGGGGTCATTTTACTGTTGTAGAAAAGAAAAAAGAAAAACTTACATTTTTGTCGAGCCTTCGAATTTTGTCGAAAAAGCGAGACATAGCGATCCTACATTCCGTCGGCGTCGGCGGCGTCCACAAATATTCACTCTGTGGTTAAAGTTTTTGAAATTTTAATAACTTTCTTAAACTATCCTGGATTTCTACCAAACTTGGACAGAAGCTTGTTTATGATCATAAGATTATATTCAAAAGTAAATTTTGTAAAAAAAAAATTCCATTTTTTCCTTATTTTACTTATAAATGGACTTAGTTTTTCTGCCAGGAAACATTACATTCACTCTGTGGTTAAAGTTTTTGAAATTTTAATAACTTTCTTAAACTATCCTGGATTTCTACCAAACTTGGAAAGAAGCTTGTTTATGATCATAAGATAGTATCCAGAAGTAAATTTTGTAAAAAAAAAATTCCATTTTTTCCGTATTTTACTTATAAATGGACTTAGTTTTTCTGCCAGTTAACATTACATTCACTCTGTGGTTAAAGTTTTTAAAATTTTAACAACTTTCTTAAACTATCCTGGATTTGTACCACACTTGGACAGAAGCTTGTTTATGATCAAAAGCTAGTATCTAGAAGGAAATTTTGTTCATTTTTTCCGTATTTTACTTATAAATGGACTTAGTTTTTCTTCCAGTTAACTTTACATACAGTCTGCAGTTAAAGTTTTAAAAACATTTATTAGATTCAAAAACCATCCTGGATTTTTACTAAACTTGGACAGAAGCTACTTACAATCAAAAGATAGTATAGAGAGGAATATTTTTATTAATTTTTTTCCTCATTTTTGTTGAGCCTGCGATTAACAGCAAAAGTAGGCGAGACACTGGGTTCCGCGGAACCCTTACGAATTTTTTAACTTAAAAGGGGAAAAATTCATTATATTTGGAACAACTTTTCTAAAAGAGGGGTCCAATTATTTTTAATAATAAAGAAGATACATGTATAAGTCCAGGAATATTACAAAATTGTTGGACATGTTTTGACGATATAATACCAGATAGATGTATAGTTCTTTTGGAAAAGTTTCTTCAAATAATATAAATATGTGCTCATTTGTACTAAAAATTTGTAAGGGTTCCGCGGAACCCAGTGTCTCGCCTACTTTTTCTGTTAATCGCAGGCTCAACAAAAATGAGGAAGTAAATCAATAAAAATATTCCTCTTGATACTATCTTTTGATTGTAAGTAGCTTCTGTCCAAGTTTGGTAAAAATCCAGGATAGTTTATGAATCTAATAAATGTTTAAAAACTTTAACTGCAGACTGAATGTAATGTTAACTGGAAGAAAACCAAAATTTCCTTCTAGATACTAGCATTTGATCATAAACAAGCTTCTGTTAAAGTTTGGTACAAATCCAAAATAGTATAAGAAAGTTATAAAAATTTTAAAAACTTTAACCACAGAGTGAATGTGTTGTTTCCTGACAGAAAATCTAAGTCCATTTAAAAGTAAAATACTGAAAAAATGGATTTATTATTTTACAAAATTTCCTTCTAGATACTGGCTTTTGATCATAAACAAGCTTCTGTCCAAGTTTGGTACAAATCCAAAATAGTATAAGAAAGTTATTAAAATTTTAAAAACTATAACCACAGAGTGAATGTGTTGTTTCCTGGCAGAAAATCTAAGTCCATTTAAAAGTAAAATACGGATAAAATGGATTTATTATTTTACAAATTTCCTTCTAGATACTATCTTATGATCATAAACAAGCGTCTGTCCAAGTTTGGTAGAAACCCAGGATAGTTTAAGAAAGTTATTAATATTTTAAAAACTTTAACCACAGAGTGAATGTAATATTTCCCGGCAGAAAAACTAAGTCCATTTATAAGTAAAATACGGAAAAAACGGAATTTTATTTTTACAAATTTACTTCTGGATACTATCTTATGATCATAAACAAGCTTCTATCGAAGTTTGGTAGAAATCCAAGATAGTTTAAGAAAGTTATTAAAATTTCAAAAACTTTAACCACAGAGTGAATATTTGTGGACGCTGCCGACGACAACGCCGACGGAATGTAGGATCGCTATGTCTCGCTTTTTCGACTAAAGTCGAAGGCTCGACAAAAAGTGGTTTTTACTAAAAAATATGTTTTATCACTTGAAATGGAATTATAGTTATCTCGTACCATTGTAAACTCGTACCAATGTCAACTTGTACCACTTAAAACAAACTCGTACCAATGCAAACTCGTACCACGGTAAATTCATACCATTGTAAACTCGTACCAACTTATTTAAATGAATTCATATGGTGTTCAATGATGAATATATATTTCAGTTTCAGTGTCTTCCCTAGAAAAAATTTCATGCATGGTGGGTACATGGTGGATTTGCAACGCGGCGTGTGATGATTCTTTTTCAGATTAGTTACACTACATAACTTATATGTTTATAGCCATATACCAATCTAACTGTTTTATTATAGGTAAGTCATGGAACTTTAAAGTATTTATTACAGATGAGAGGAATTAAAGAAAGACCTTATAAACAATAATAAAAATAATCCAGTCTGCACTAGTTATTTACAAATTAATGTCATGTACACATTATTTTGTTGATATTTTCCTCGGTTTCAACTTTCCAAAGGTCCCCACACATTTTTCAAAATCAAAATCTTTCTCCTTTGGTCCTTCAATTGAAGCATTAAGCAATTCAGCACTTTTTGGCATAGTCTGCTTCTCAAAGGTGTTTTAACTCTGTTTAAACATGAAATACACCTTTCACAATCAGCTGTTGAAACTGGCAAAACAAGAACAATTGCTGCATACTAGACGGACAAGGATACAAAGTTCCAAGACTGGCAACTTTGTTCATTGTCTGTCTAAATGTCATGTCTTTACATTCTTTCACTAACAGTGTCCTCAATTTGCTGATAGAATGGTTTCAGCAGCAGCAACAGCAAGTTGTTAAATAAAACTTTGAATGTCATCATTGCTTCACAGAGATTTTACAGGAAACAAAAAAAAAAGTTTATTTGCGTTAATTACTAGTACAGAAGTCGTCAATGAAGAATACCTGACATACGGATGACATATTTGGCAATTACCTGTTTGGAAGCTAAGCTGACATTTTATTTCATTACAATTAACTATTTTTTTTTAAACACATTCTTGTGAGTCACTGTCCGATTTATTTGTAACGCTTCTTAAATGTAAAAATCCTATCTTGCCGAAGTGAAAGAAATTTAGCCCCACTTGTGTAAAAAACGGCAAATGAATCCGCTATGCATTGCTATGTGACCCGTTGAATTAAAGATAGAACAACACTAGTTTATTAAAAACATTATTACGTAAATAACTACGTATGTTTTGAAAGTTTTTCCATCAAATGTTTTAAATATTTCATAAGACACATCTTTTTCTCAGCCCGGTTGCGATGATGTGTATTTTTTTTATATAATCAATCGACCGTGACTAATCTAATAAAATGCTTCGCTGGGGCGCAGCTTGATACGACCGCAGAGGTCGAACCCTGAACAGTTGGGGCAAGTATGGACACAACATTCAAGCTTGATACAGCTCTGAATTTGGATTGTTATTAAATATTTGACACAGCATAGGTTTCTGACACAGAAAGAATGTGGTCTAAGAACTTGAATTTTTTTAATTTACCTATTATGGTCCAATGTCCAAAATCAAAATACATGGTTAGATTCAGCATATCAAAGAAACCCATATATTCAATTTTTGTTAAAATCAAACAAAGTTTAATTTTGGACCCCAACTTGGACAAACTTGAAAACTGGGCCCATAATCAAAAATCTAAACACATGTTTAGATTCAGCATATCAAAGAACCCCAAGAATTCAATTTTTGCTAAAATCAAACTAAGTTTAATTTTGGACCCTTTGGACCTTAATGTAGACCAATTTAAAAAACGGGACTTAAAATTAAAAATCTAAATACACGGTTAGATTTGGAATATCAAAAAACCCCAATAATTCAATTTTTGATGAAATCAAACAAAGTTTAATTTTGGACCCTTTTGACCTCAATATGAACCAATTTGATAGCGGGGCCCACAAATAAAAAATCTAAGTTCATGGTTAGATTCAGCATATCAAAAAACCCCATATATTCAATTTTTGTTGAAATAAAAAAAAATATAATTTTGGACCCCAACTTGGACCAACTTGAAAACTGGGACCATAATCAAAAATCTAAACACATGTTTAGATTCAGCATATCAAAGAACCCCAAGAATTCAATTTTTGTTAAAATCAAACTAAGTTTAATTTTGGACCCTTTGGACCTCAATGAAGACCAATTTAAAAAATGGGACCCAAATTAAAAATCTAAAAACACGGTTAGATTTGGCATATCAAAGAACCCCAATAATTCAATTTTCGATGAAATCAAACAAAGTTTAATTTTGGACCCTTTTGACCTCAATATGAACCAATTTGATAGCGGGGCCTACAAATAAAAAAATCTAAATACATGGTTAGATTCAGCATTTCAAAGAACCTCATATATTCAATTTTTGTTGAAATCAAACAAAGTTTAATTTTGGACCCCAATTTGGACCAACTTGAAAACTGGGCCCATAATCAAAAATCTAAATACATGTTTAGATTCAGCATATCAAAGAACCCCATATATTCAATTTTTGTTGAAATCAAACAAAGTTTAAATACTGGAACCTATCTTGGACCAACTTGAAAACTGGGCCCATAATCAAAAATCTAAACACATGTTTAGATTCAGCAAATCAAAGAACCCCAAGAATTCAATTTTTGTTAAAATCAAACTAAGTTTAATTTGGACCCTTTGGACCTCAATGTAGACCAATTTAAAAAACAGGACCCAAAATTAAAAACCTAAATACAAGGTTAGATTTGGAATATCAAAGAACCCCAATAATTCAATTTTAGATGAAATCAAACAAAGTTTAATTTTGGACCCTTTTGACCTCAATATGAACCAATTAGATAACGGGGTCCACAAATAAAAAATCTAAATACATGGTTAGATTCAGCATATCAAAGAACCCCATATATTCAATTTTTTTTGAAATCAAACAAAGTTTAATTTTGGACCCCAATTTGGACCAACTTGAAAACTGGGCCAAAAATCAAAAATCTAAATACATGTTTGGATTCAGCATATCAAAGAACCTCATATATTCAATTTTTGCTAAAATCAAACAAAGTTTAATTTTGGACCCTTTGGACATTAATGTAGACCAATTTGAAAACTGGACCCAAAATTAAAAATCTAAATACACTGTTAGATTCGGCATAACAAATAAATAAATGTGATCAAAGATTTTACAAATCTAATGCGCCATACTGTGCAATTAAAGATTACTTCTTGAAATTTTTCAATATTTGAAATTTGAAAAAAAAATAATATTTGAAGAATAATTCTTTTTAATTTCTGAAATCTGAAATGAGAAAAAATTGGCCCCCCACAATTTCTTTTTATCCCCCCCCCCCCCCTTTTTCCCCCAAAAAAATTCTTTCCCTCAAGATATGGTCATAATCTCAATTCAAATTTCCAATGGAGTTGGCAACCATAATTACCCATTTAAATTTACCATAGTTCTAACTTAATCTATTTTATAATAGAATTAATAAAAATATAGTGTCAAATCTTTCATATGGATTTTTTTGTAAAAAAAAAAGATGAAAACATTTGCAGATATTTTTACTGGTCTTCCTTTATAAATATGCATTTCTTTAAACATAATTTAAAAGCAGTGTAAGGGAAGTAACCAAAACGTTGTATTTGGATTACCTCCCTTACACTGTTTTAGATTATCTTTATTGTTCATTAACCATTACTTTATACATAATTTAAAAGCAGTGTAAGGGAGATAATTTCAATGATGTATTTGATTTATCTCCCTTACACTGCTTTAAATTATGTTTTGTACTAAAGTATTTGTCCATTAACCAGGACAACCTTGTTTTTCCCCCTTTTTTGCCCCTAATTCCTAAACGGTTTGAGCCATAACCCCCAAAGCAAATCCTAACCATCCCTTTGTGGTATGGAAACTTGTAGTATAATTTCAGAGAGATCCATACACCGTTCCACAGTTATTGTCTGGAAACTAGAAAATGCTCATTTTTTGCCCCTTTCTGGCCCCTAATTCCTTAACTGTTGGTACCATAACCCCCAAAATCAATCCCAACCTTCCTTTTGTGGTATTTAACCTTATGGTCAAATTTCAAAAAGATCCATTCACTTAAACTAAAGTTAGAGTGCGAAAACCAATATGTCTTCGGACGACGACGCAGGACGACGACGCCGCAGACGACGACGACGACGACGCCAACGTCATACCAATATACGACCACAAAATTTTTTTGCGGTCGTATAAAAATAACTGATTGTTGTGACCAAAAAAAAAATAATGCATCGATGTAAATATACATGAATATAGCTGATGAAAAAACTGCGATACTTTATTTAAAAAAAAGTTTTGTCCATTCTCGATGATGAAAGCATGGCGGTTGAAATTTATGCGTAGCGGTACCGCAATGCTTGAATAGCCTAGGGAAAACACTGAGTTTCACTTACATTTAGTTCCAAGCTGTTAAATTATATAACAACAATCAAAATTTAATAATATGATTAAACAAGTTGATTTGTTAATGTTGATGTATATATGTTTATTGTGTTAATACATGTTGGTCACAAACTGTAAAGTTTATAAGACAATAAAATATTTGATTTGATTTGATTTGATTTGTTAATAATCACCCAATAATCACACAATCAAAGGAATTTAATATATTAATTAACATGGTAATTAATAAATTACATTTGTATTTTTGTCTAAGTTTTCATTAAAATCTGGTATAAAATTGAAGAAATTCAACTTTTTTATAATGATTTAAAAAAAAAAAAAATCATAAAACATTCAGTATTTACACTGAATATATTTTTAATGGTACGAGTTTGCAGTGGCACGAGTTCTGAATGGTACGACTTCCCAGTGGTAGGAGTTAACTTTTAGTGGTACGAATTGACGTGGTACGAGTGAACTTGCTTCCTTGAAATGTACCCCTCATTAAAGGGGTAGTCATTACATTGTTCCCAACCTATTCAACCGATTGCACTGTAATGCACGATGTATAAACATGAGAATGACATCACAGTATTTGAACAGGACTCTTTTACCGTTTTATATTTATATATGCATTAATTGGTGGATTAGTGGCATGTTCTTTTGTAAGTTGATACAAGTTTTTAGTGAGTGTATAAAGTGCATTAGCCATCACACTATGTCGGAGTGCGCCAAAATATTGAACGGCGATACATACCTGTAGAAAATCAACCACAGACAATAAAAAACTGACCCATTTTCATGATCAGGATCATGATATATTGTATCTGTGTGTACATGTAAATTGTATGTTTCGAGTAATTATATCATTCACAACAGTTCAAAGTTGTCAGTATGATGGAAAAATTTTCTGTTATCGGTTCATTAATTACATTTTGTCATTGTCAACATCAAACTACCGTTGTTTAGAAAAGTTGACAGGCATGCAGAACCTGGCATATGCTTTTTAACGAATCATGACAGCAGTAAATTTGTAAACAATGAAGTTTAAAAGCATTTCTTATTCATGATGATTTTGAATAGTGACTTTTTAATTCAGCAAACAAGTACCCAATAAAGTTCCAATTACTCTTTTGGCGTCTTCGTTTCGCCTTTCGTATGAATCGATAATACTAAATAAAACAACCGGGTGAACCCGGCACACGAGGCTGGCTGCCATGTTTGAAGAGAATGCAAAAACTGTCAATCATTCGATAAAATAAAAAAAATATTGTGATGGTTCACATTTTTATTCAAAACAAGACTAGAATATTTAGAAATCAATTACCAAATAAGCAAATTCTACTGTATTGACAACAAAAATTTTAAATTATCGTCCGTCAGCCAATGGGAGAAAAGAATTTGCACCCAACAAGAAACCATGATGGCCAATGATAACTTCCGGTTTAAATTTTGTATGAAGAAACACCTGACATTTTTTGAAGAATTCCATGTCCATACCGGTTACATATTGAAAATTTTGTAGGTAAAACAACAAATAAGTTAATTTTTAATTGTAACAATGGCATATTGAGTATTTTTGTCATTTACCTACTGAGTGAAGGCTTGTCGAAAACCCAAGTTTTAATCGTTTTATTTCCTTCTTGGGAAGCATGCATGGTCCTTGACATCACCTCTAAAAGAACTAACACAACACTTTTACATAGTGTTATAGTTTCCGTAGACGTTACGCCAATTCATTACTGTTAAAAAAAATTTAAAAGCTTCGAACCGGCATTATTGTCATTGGAAACCCCACTGGAAGCCTCTAAATTATAACATGAAAGTGGTATTTTGGATCAGGAATTTTCTATGTAGTTGCTTTTTTTTTTTAAAGAGACGTGACAAGATAGTGCATAACCTTGTATGAGCTTAATGCAAGCTGTAAAATTATGCAAATCTAGTTTAAATATCTTTAAGAATAGACGACATTCGATGTGTGCACTTTTCCGTAAATTTCTTATGTTTAATACATGCTCATGAGCTATGTTCGTGCTCAGAGTATAACTGATTGTTCGATGATGTTGTTTATGTCTATTAATCTGGTTAACTGGTGTAACTCATTAAAAAAAAAAAACAACTTGAGATTAGTTTATTTTTATTTCTGTAAACATGGTAAAAAACAAAAACAAAAAAAATATGCGTATGTGTCTAATAGAATGTGTGTAATAGACATCTTCAAAATGTGTGTATTTGTAACAGCCACTATGTTCCGTCAGTTACTTTGTTCCGGCGGAACTTTTCAACTAGTTATTTCGTTCCGATGGAACTTTCCAACTAGTTGTTTTATTCCGAGTGCAGTCGAAAAGTTCCGGAAAAAAGTAGCCTAACCCTAACCAAACCCTAACCCTAACAAAGAGGAACTTTGTGACTAGTTGATAGGTTCCGTTTGACTTTTGTGGTTAGTATCTTTGTTCCCCTTAGAAAAGGTTCAAAGATAATATGTTGCGCTTTTACTTTGCATCAATTCTCCAAATGGAAAGTTTTTGACGGGTTGATAAGTTCCGTTAGAACTTTTGGGCTAGTTTGTTAGTTCCCGTTTTGACTTATTTGCCAAAGAGGAACTTTGTGGCTAGTTGATAAGTTCCTTTTGACTTTTGTAATCAGTATCTTGGTTTCCCTTTGAAAGGTTCAAATATAATATGTTGCGCTTTTACTTTGCATCAATTCTCCAAATGGAACTTTCTGCCTGGTTGATAAGTTCCGTTGGAACTTTTGGGCTAGTTTGTTAGTTCCGGTTTTGACTAATTTTGCAAAAAGGAACTTTCTAACTAGTTGATATGTTCCGTTGGAACTTTTCAACTAGTCACTTTGTTCAGGTGGAACTTTTAAACCAGAGGAAGAACAAAGTAACTAGTTAATAAGTTGCTCCGGAACTTTTCGGCTAGTTAGTTCTTTCCGCCCGGAACTTTCCAACGTCGGAACAAAAGAACATTTACATATTTTCATGTACATTTTCACAATGTATATGTTATTATGTCATAGTAAGGATTAATTGTTCATTGACATCATTTACGCAGATTAACCTTGAGCCTGAGCATGTTTAGTCAATCTGTGTAACTCATTCATAAAAAAGAACTTGAAATTGGTCTATATCCTTTCTATTTACAGAATCTGGGTCCATTCGCCCTGATTCGCGTTCGCCCTAATACCTGTTCGCCCTGGGTCCGTTCGCCCTAATTCCTGTTCGCACTGAGTCCTTTCAGCCCAAATCACATTAATTCTTACAGACAGTTTGACAGGAAGCTATCATGCTCAGAGATGCAAACAGTTTTTTTTTTCTGTCAGACATTGGGGCCTTCAGGGTAGTAAGTTTTGCCAGACCCATCAAATTTTTGCCAGACCTATATTTTCACTCAAAAATAAAATGAGACGCTTTTGAATAATTAATTTTTATTATACGACCGCAAAAAAATTTTGTGGTCGTATATTGGTATGACGTTGGCGTCGTTGGCGTCGTCGTCCGAAGACACATTGGTTTTCGCACTCTAACTTTAGTTTAAGTGAATGGATCTTTTTTGAAATTTGACCATAAGGTTAAATACCACAAAAGGAAGGTTGGGATTGATTTTTTGGGGGTTATGGTACCAACAGTTAAGGAATTAGGGGCCAAAAAGGGGCCAAAAATAAGCATTTTCTAGTTTCCAGACAATAACTGTGGAACGGTGTATGGATCTCTCTGAGTCTGAAATTATACTACAAGTTTACATACCACAAAGGGATGGTTAGGATTTGCTTTGGGGGGTTATGGCTCAAACTGTTTAGGAATTAGGGGCAAAAAAGGGGGAAAAACAAGGTTGTCCTGGTTAATGGACAAATACTTTAATACAAAACATAATTTAAAGCAGTGTAAGGGAGATAAATCAAATACATCATTGAAATTATCTCCCTTACACTGCTTTTAAATTATGTATTAAGTAAAGGTTAATGAACAATAAAGATAATTTAAAACAGTGTAAGGGAGGTAATCCAAATACAACGTTTTGGTTACTTCCCTTACACTGCTTTTAAATTATGTTTAAAGAAATGCATATTTATAAAGGAAGACCAGTAAAAATATCTGCAAATGTTGCATCTTTTTTTTTTACAAAAAAATCCATATGAAAGATTTGACACTATATTTTTAATTCTATTATAAAATAGATTAAGTTAGCACTATGGTAAATTTAAATGGGTAATTATGGTTGCAAACTCCATTGGAAATTTGAATTGAGATTATGACCATATCTTGAGGGAAAGAATTTTTTGGGGAAAAAAAGGGGGGGGGGGATAAAAAGAAATTGTGGGGGGTCAATTTTTTCTCATTTCAGATTTCAGAAATTAAAAAGAATTATTCTTCAAATATTATTTTTTTTCAAATTTCAAGAAGTAATCTTTAATTGCACAGTATGGCGCATTAGATTTGTAAAATCTTTGATCACATTTATTTATTTGTTATGCCGAATCTAACAGTGTATTTAGATTTTTAATTTTGGGTCCAGTTTTCAAATTGGTCTACATTAAGGTCCAAAGGGTCCAAAATTAAACTTTGTTTGATTTTAGCAAAAATTCAATATATGAGGTTCTTTGATATGCTGAATCTAAACATGTATTTATATTTTTGATTTTTGGCCCAGTTTTCAAGTTGGTCCAAATTGGGGTCCAAAATTAAACTTTGTTTGATTTCAACAAAAATTGAATATATGGGGTTCTTTGATGTGCTGAATCTAACCATGTATTTAGATTTTTTATTTGTGGACCCCGTTATCAAATTGGTTCATATTGAGGTCAAAAGGGTCCAAAATTAAACTTTGTTTGATTTCATCTAAAATTGAATTATTAGGGTTCTTTGATATTCCAAATCTAACCGTGTATTTAGATTTTTAATTTTGGGTCCTGTTTTTATTTAAATTGGTCTACATTAAGGTCCAAAGGGTCAAAAATTAAACTTAGTTTGATTTTAACAAAAATTGAATTCTTGGGGTTCTTTGATATGCTGAATCTAAACATGTGTTTAGATTTTTGATTATGGGCCCAGTTTTCAAGTTTGTCCAAGTTGGAGTCCAAAATTAAACTTTTTTTTATTTCAACAAAAATTGAATATATGGGGTTCTTTGATATGCTGAATCTAACCATGAATTTAGATTTTTTATTTGTGGGCCCCGCTATCAAATTGGTTCATATTGAGGTCAAAAGGGTCCAAAATTAAACTTTGTTTGATTTCATCAAAAATTGAATTATTGGGGTTCTTTGATATTCCAAATCTAACCGTGTATTTAGATTTTTAATTTTAAGTTCCGTTTTTTAAATTGGTCTACATAAAGGTCCAAAGGGTCCAAAATTAAACTTAGTTTGATTTTAGCAAAAATTGAATTCTTGGGGTTCTTTGATATGCTGAATCTAAACATGTGTTTAGATTTTTATACGGCCGCAAAAATTAAAAATTTTTTGGTCATATATTGGTATGACGTTGGCGTGGTCGTCGTCCGGCTTCGTCGTCGTCGTCTGGCGTCGTCCGAAGACACATTGGTTTTCGCACTCTAACTTTAGTTTAAGTGAATGGATCTCCATGAAATTTTACCATAAGGTTCAATACCACGAAAGGAAGGTTGGGATTGATTTTGGGGGTTATGGTACCAACAGTTAAGGAATTAGGGGCCAAAAAGGGGCCAAAAATAAGCATTTTTGTAACTTCCAGACAATAACTTGTGTGTAAGTGTATGGATCTCTCTGACATTGTACCACAAGGTTCCATATCACAAAGGAAAGGCTGTAATTGATTTTGGGGGTAATTGCCTCAAAATTTTAGGAATTAGGGGCCAAAAAAGGGACAAAAAACAAGCATTTTTCTAGTTTCATGACAATAACTTGTGTGTAAGTGTTTGGATATTTCTGAAATTGTACTACAAGGTTCCATATCACACAGGGAAAACTGGAATTGAGTTTGGGGGTAATTGCCCGAAACGTTTAGGAATTGGGGGCCAAAAAGGGGCCAAAAATAAGCATTTTTCTAGTTTCCAGACAATAACTTGTGTTCAAGTGTATGGATCTCTCTGAAATTGTACTGCAAGGTACCATACCACAAAGGGAAGGCTGGGATTGATTTTGGGGGTGATGAATCATAAGGGGGTTCAAAAAATTTGGGGGGGGATTTTTTTTTTTCTTTTTTTCCTTTTTTTTTTCTTTTAAAATTTTCCATTTTAAGTTGGTTATTTCTGATTAATATTTAAAAGCAAATAATAATGATATGATAGGAGATACACACCAAACAGGATGTGTAAATTATTATCTAATAAGTATTGTGCAATAGCAAGAAATTTTCAATTGCACAGTATTGCACAATAGCAAGAAATCTTCAATTGCACAGTATTGCGCAATAGCAAGAAATCTTCAATTGCACAGTATTGCGCAATAGCAAGAAATATCCAATAGCACAATATTGCGCAATAGCAAGAAATTGTCAATTGTACAGTATTGCGCAATAGCAAGAAATATTCAATTGCACAG